TTTGTATAAGAGGATGAGATCATAATAAATAATGATTAATTAGTTATAAAATAACGAAAAAAAAAAAAAAAAAATATTTAAGAAGATATCAACTATACAAAAGATTGTCAAAGTCTAATCAAAGAGAAAGAGGAAAGAGATTTAAAGAGAGATCAAGAGTAGAAAAATTATCAACTTTTAATTCTTCATGAAATTTTCTTTTTTTATTCTTCTTCTCATCTTCAAGAGAAGACATCTCTTCATATATGAAATAAAGATAAAGGCATTACAATATCCGTAATATGTAAGTTAATACACTATTATTTAAAAAAGCTAAAGTTTGTAACCACAATGCCATATAATTGCATTTAACAACCCCTAAATATTTTATTTGTGGCTCTATTTTTGTTCATTGTGTTGAAGCATTTGGAATATAAATAACACAACAAAAAATATTCAATGAGACAAGTTATGTACTAGACCAAAAATAAGTTGTAATGGGAAGCATTTAAGATAAGTAGTTGGTTTTAATTTGATAAGTGCATGCAAAATTACATAACCCCAAGTTATAATCTATATTTCATAAATAGTATTCTAGCAATCAATTATAATCTCTCAAAAAATGATTCCACTAAATCATTTTGTGTGCGAAGAGAGCCATTGAATGCCCAATGATATACAATAATTATTAAATCTCCCTCATCATCAAGCCATATTTTTCTAATTGTATAATGTGAAAATTGTGTAAAAAGTCTAACACCTAGGTGATCCAATCTCTCAAGTCAAAGGGGAAATGTTTTGGGCCAATCAATTTCTGATTAGTAACAATATAAATTTCCACTGAATTAATGTATGTGCAATACAATCAAGAAGAAAAAACTTGCATTTTTTGTACAAAAAAAAAAAACTTGCATTTTTTCCTGCACAAATTTGTGGCCAAATCTAAAAAATGTAATAAGTAATGTACCAAAAAAAATGTAATAAGTATGTATTCAATATTATTTTCATTTGTGGTTTAAATGTGATAACCATTACAATGTATATGACTTTAAAACTTTTTTATATTTTTATTAGATCTACTAGAGTATGATGCATCTATTAATATTAAATTTGTTTGTTCCTCTAGGTAACACAATACAAGCTCTTCTCAAACCTTCAATTAAGTTTGTAGTGCCATAAATAGTGCTAACACTTGTCTTAGCCAATCATGGTTGAGAAAAATATTTCATATTTTTCAAAATGGTGTGTGTGGTTACACTATCAATCACGCATGAATCTTCATCATTCATCTTAATATCAAACATGACACGACCATTTATTTTGTCTTAATTGATGATTGTAGACACACTCTTTCTCAATTGGTTAAAGCAAATCATGTTAATAACATGTTATAAAAGGAAAGAGACTTAGGGAGTGATCAAGAACATAAGATGGTTTTGTTTGATTATTGTTTTTTAAAATATTTTTTAGTTTTCAGAAAAAGAAAAATAAACTCGTTGCATTAGGCCTGTTTTGTAAAAAAAAAAAGTTTTAAAAATTGTGACTGTTTTGAATCAAATTTTGAGAACATATTTGAATTGTTTTTGTTTTATATTTTGATTTTTAACATTCAAAAATAAAATAAAATAGGAAATAACTATTTTACAAAATAATTTTAAAAACAAAAAAAACAGAACACAATCAAAACAGGCCCATAATTCTTCAAAAAAATTTCTTTTCTTATTCCTTTTCTCATCGTCACACGAGATCTCTTTATTTAGGAACATGGACGAAGGGATTACAAATGTACATAATGTGTATGTTAATATACCATTATTTAAAAAGTTATTGAATATATAATTTTTGGTTGTTCTTGAATATATAATTCAAGGGAAGAATTTATCTGGTTGTATTGAAAAAAAAATTATGTCATATTCATATAAAAATGAATAAGTGCCGTTATAAAGAGAAGAAAAATAAAATTAGGTTAATCACTTACTTTTATATGTATATCACAAGAAAAAAGTTTCTTAAATTTTAAACCCATTATTTAAACTCTTAAGGTAGTAGTAGGACCACCAAACCAATTAATTAATTGGTGAGTCGGATAAGTTCGATTGACACAGCTTACCAGATAAAAGTTATTCCAAAAATTGACTGCAATCAATTCACGTTGGGGGGCATGCCTATTCAATTTTCATTTCCTTCATCTTTCAATTCACATTCTTCGAACCCTCCTCCTTAACAAAAGAAAAAGAGTAGAAAAGGGAATGATCGTTGATTGTATTCGAAGAATGGAGGGGTGGTTCTCAAGCTCACGCAGTGAGGATGATGAGCAGAAAGCAGCAGCACCTTCATCCTCATCTTTGCTTGCTGATTGGAACTTGTACGCTTCATCGCAGGACAACTCCAATTTGGGGATCCCATTCGATCTCGAATATGCTGTTACGTCTGCTAACGACACTGTCTTCAAAAAGACTTGAAAAAATCAACTTTCTTCAAAATTATCCTTTATCTTCAAATAATGCTGACCAGACCAGCACAATAAAAATAATTAAATTTATAAATAAATAAAAAATCTTATGGTCGACAGTACATAAACACGCACCAATAATCACCAAAATAAAAAGTACCTCAATCTGTATGACAAGTAGCCCAGCGATCATGCCACATATTGCACATATAATTTCCAGAGAAAAAAGCCTGATGAGAAGGCAGGCCAACGCAATGCAAAGCATCAGCCACCTAAGGATCTGATCCCAGAAATTGCTCCGCGACATGTAGTTCATAAACACCGTCATCATGATTTGGGGACAAACTTACCATGATTCGGGAAATGTGAATCCATAAAAATTTAAGCATGGGTACAGTAGAGTTCAGCTATGAGATCTCCATTCTCACGATTTTGATCTTGATGATAATATTTTTTCATACCAAAAAATTCTCTATTTTCACATTTAATGTCTTATATGTGCATTTTTTTCACCTTACTGACGTACTATTATCCCGAGCCCGGGCAAATGTGATTAATAATGTTACTGTGGGTTCTTTTTTTTATCGTTGTATATTTGTGTTTTATCAAAAAAATCAGATTGATTTGAAATTTGATCTACCTCACAATAATGTGCCTTTTTTTCACTTTATTGGTATGTGCTATTATACGAGGCAAGTTCCCCAGCTGTCCCGTGGCAAGAGCTCTGAAATTTTATGTTTGATAAAATAAAATTATATTCTCCTCCTAAAAAAAATATTTTTATTAATTTATAAAATATTTATATATATGATAAAAATATTTTGAAATATATATTATATAGAATTTTTTTTTACAAAAGCACTTTATAATATAGAGTTAAAATATGTTATTAAGAATATATAATTTATACTGTTTAGGAATAATATTATTCCTATATAGTATAATTTTTCATTCTTAATAACATACTTCATATTAAATTGCTAAAGTAACTTTGTAAACAAATTTCTAATAATATATTTAACAAATATTTTTATCATATATATAAATATTTAATAATTAATAATATTATTTTTTGTATTAAAAAACTTAACAGGAAGTCAAAGAAAATTATTTTATCAAACATAAAACTTATGTCATTTGAACAATCCTCGTCTCGATGGCTTATAGCCAAATTTAAACATTTTTCTTGAACGAATAGAAACTTCCATGTATTCACGTTCACGAATTAAAAAGCCACAAACTGCACAAAAAATTACCATATGTAACTAAATACACTAAATCCAGGAAATTGCACCTAATTACCACAGAAAATTCCTGCGTGGGTAGTCAAAATGATCAGAAATTGCAACTTTCAAGTTCATTCAAATCACCCACTTCCGAAAGCACATAGCCCATAATTAAAAAAAGGAACTGTGCATAGCCTCCCAGCCAATCACCATTAAAGGAAATCACCACAAACACCTATACTTGAATGAGAGTTGACAGCTCCATCAACATAGATACTGATAACTTCCTGCAAATCAAGAGAGACAGTGTCAAAGGGAACAGCTGGAGGGGGAGGGCAGGGAACAAAGGGTCCGACTTGCTGGATTTCTTCATATCAGAAAGGAAATTAAAAATCCTGAAAACTGGGTCCGGAGGCCAAATAAAAAGATCCTCATGAAGAGAGGCATTTCTCCACTGCCACAAGCACCAACAGGTAATGAAAAAGGCTTCTTTCCAAGAGGACCAAACAAACTGTGTGCTCTTGTTAACCCGTGTTAGTATGAGTGCTACGTAAGTTAGAATTAGCGTGTGTTGGTGTATCGTATCACGTGTCCCGTATCAATATCAATGCTACGTAGATTACTACAAACAAACTATGTGCTATTGTTAACCCAACTAGAATTTTATTGAAGTGGCTGGTTTATTTTAATAAAAAAGAGTGAAGAATTTTAATTGTGAAAATTAAGAGCTGTATATGTTGACTTATGCATGACAATTTTTTTGCATTCACAGAAAGTAAACAAATAAAAAAAATAGTTGCATCAATTTTGGGAGTAAAATCACCCTTTTTTAGGCTTTTTCAGTGAAAAGCAAATAATGTATTAAAATTAATAAAAAGCGATATATTAGTAAAATTTTATTTTATAAAAATAATATCTGAGCATTATTTTTTTTTGAAAAATTTTACAAAAAAGTCAATCATTAAATTATTACACTGACAATAAATTTAACAATTTTAAACTTGTTAAAACTTTAATAATTTATATTATTCTTTAACATCAACTCTTCTTCAAGCCATGTCACTTATATTGTTTGCTAGTCAACCATTGTAGCGGTTGAGGTCAAATATTGCAGACAAATGTCTTGATACCGTGATACATATCTGCATGACCATCAGCATAAATGTCAACTATATCGAGTATAATATACTACATAGGTCAATAGTTGCACGACCATCATTATCCTTTTTTGAAATAATGATTAGTAGCCAACGGAAAGTGTCATATTTTCATTTTAACCATGATTCAATAAAAAAACAGTCATGCATTACATTTCCAAACAGGACCTAATGTCAAGCATCAACCTACAAGATAATATCATTTCCTGGCCTCCATAGCCGGACAAGTTTGTCATAGAATGAGCAAGTAGCTATCAGTGGTTTGGTTCCCCCACCTCTGTGATTTGCTTCTCCTTTCTGCCAGTCTGCTCCGTATGCAAGGGAATCATGCTTCTTGTAAGTTTCATGAACTTCAGCTTTGTCCCCTTTAATGACAACAATTGCAAAACCATTGTGCATGCAGGCAGCCAAGACCAACCCTGGAATGAAGGGGTGGTGCTTCACCCTCCAAACTCCTCCCCCTAAGCTGATTGAAGTCTCGTTAACAGGTTTTGAGATTGATCTCAAATCCCATACCCTCAAGAATTCATCATAGCTGCCAGTTAATAAGCTGTTTGGGTCATGAGGACTCTTTTCAATACAACAAACGCCCATCTTGTGGACTTTAGAGATCTGAAATACCAGATTGGAAGGACTATCCCGCAAATCCCAACAACTGAACTTACAGTCATCAGAGCCAGTATATACCAAATTTGGCTGGTGGATATCAAAGGAGGTTGTCCAAAGTTCAAAATCATGTGCCTTCCACTCTTCCTGTATTTCCAGCTTGGATTCAAGAAGAGAAACAATAGATACGGAGCCATCAGAAAGCCCAACTGTGATGGATGTGGCTGAAGGGTTCCAATCCAGGTACAGACACATAGAGCTACCGATTTTTTCACTTGTCATCTCTTTCAGATAAGTCCCTGCCATAGAATCAATAACAAATCTTAATATAATATAACTGGGCCAAAGAATGAGAGCACATCTCTTTAGCAAAATACAAACATGAAATAAGTGAATATTTTGTCCTGCATGAGTCCTAAATGTCAGTATCTAGACAAAAATGCAAGATTTCTATGCCTAACATAGCGACATGTCACTACGTTATCTACAAACAAGAAACTTTGATATGCGGAAGGTAATACTAAAATTTAACTGTAATGTAAGGGGTTGCATTAATATATTTAATAGACAACCTCCTCGCGAAAAATGATTAACAGCATATCCAACTAGCTGTCAATTTCTGACATCTCCTTTGCATGTAGAGAAACAAAATCTTATATTCTAAGACAAAGCCATTCTTTGGCAACTTCTGACACGTGGCTACTTCTCCTTCTGACACGTGTTTGCTTTCACACTCCATAATTCAAAAAGTTTCCTTTTTGGGTAATTCAGGAAATAAAAAAATTCAAAAAGAAATTATAATCTGGACTCAAAATTGATGGTCACGATTTGCTGTCCAAAATCAATGGTGCAGATCTGTTCTCATCTTTATTGGGACACAGCTCATCTTATTTTCAAATTTTAAAAATTAACACACAGCTCATCTTATTTTCAAAATTTAAAAACTGACAACTTAATTAATCTTCACCTACTTTCTCTCTTGGAATGTTAAACGTTTAACAAAACCTACACGCCTTCTCATTTTTTTTAGTGGTTCCTCCAGATTGCTCACATCTTTTTCTTTCTCCTGTTCTTCGTGTTCTTAGCGGTTTTCTCAGCTGCTGTTCGTCATTTTTTTGGCATTCGTCGTTCTTAGTCGTTGTTTTTTTTTTCCCACATTTCATATCATTCGTCATTTTTTATTTTGTTGCTGCTTTTCGTCTTCGTTTTTAATTTTTTTTTTCTCCGTTGCGATTTTATTGCTGCTGTCGTACTTTTTTTTTTAAGTAGCTTAATATCAGTTACTATTGAATTTGAATCGATTCGGGTGTGGCGACAAAGATGGGTTCGGTATATTTTTTATCTGATAGTGGATTTTAAGATCTGGGTTATGTTTATATTTGTGTTTCCCTGCGAAAGTTTGAAAATTTTGCAACGTGAGCTAGGTTTTTAGGGTTTTAGATGGTTATTCTGTGATGGGTCCTGGAGAATTTTTCTTTTCTTTTTTTGTTTTTTGCGTTTAAGATATATTCAATGGTTTGTTGATTAGGATTTTGGGTTTTGGTGATGGTTTTGAAGGATATGGCTGAGGTGAAATCAGAGGAGTGTTGTATGGAGAATAAACAATCTACTGCTGTTTCATGTTCCTCTGTTTCTGAAGGCAGTGGCAGTGCAATTCACAAGTCTCCAGGGATATGTAGCACAGCATCAGCATCGCCTTCAAATCGGTAACATACATTTAGTAGTTCTTTACTTTTTCATTGCAGTATTAGTCATGAATTATCATGATGTTGTTACCTTGAGGGCGGTGTTTTATGCCTATCTATTATTGACATAGTTTCACATTCTGAAATAGCAACTGGTTCCCTTTATACTATGGAGAACTTATCCATTTTGTATCTGTGTTATGATCTCTATGCATTGATTTTCAATGTATGAATATTTTCTGTACAGAAGGACCACTGGACCCATAAGGCGCGCTAAGGGTGGTTGGACAGCACAGGAGGTAAATCTTTACTCATTAGAGTGGGTAATATATTTTTCCTCACTGTTTTTCATTCTTTTATTTTTCCATTTTTTTTACAAACTCTTTGCTGCCCTCTTTTTTTTTGTAGACGTCATTGGTTTAATCTCAGGAATTAGTGAAGTTTGTGAAAGTGTGGTGTCTGATAGGAAGACAAAAATGGTGTTGTTGGAGCTTGACAACCTGAGGTATTTAAAATGTTAGAGTAAAAAAAAAAATTGTTGTCGTCTATTACCTTATATATTATATATTTCGTGTATAACGTTTTACTTGCTGCAACTCATATATAGAGGTCACAAGCTGAAGTGCACTTTGTGGGAGCATTATGTTGATGAGATGCAATCTTTTTTGGCAAACAACGACACTCCTCATAACATCATAATAGTTCAACTGGGAAGGATAAAATGTTTAAGGGGTATGTTTTTTTTAAAGAAACATTTTTTATTTTTTACTTCTATATTATGTTTTTTATTCGATTTTTTTTTTCAATAGGTATATTGATGATAAAATGTGATGTACATTTCCTATCTAATTTGGTATATTGATGAACGCTGTTGACCTCCACTTCTTTTTCTTTTGAAGGAAAACTAGAACCTCTTTAACTTAAGTGCAAGAATAGGCTGTAGGTTGGGTATTCAATTTTGGAATCATAAAACTGGAGTGGGTCTGAAAGAAGGCTATAGAGAGAGCCTTTGAAACCGTGGAAGAGTTGTTGCATAGAAATGAAATTTTCTTGATGAAGTGTTTTTTTTCAGTACTTATTACATACATGTATGAATATGGTGAATTGTTGATATGGTAATGGCCTTTGTTTATTCTTAATTTCTGCATATAAAAATCTGTGATTGGTACCTATTAAGACATTAACAGTGAATGTATGTCTCCTAATGTATAAATGACTGATTTAGCAATAATAGTTGATTGCTATGCTTTGAGATTGGCTGCCAGGTGTGCATCTCTAAAAGCTGATATGAGAAAAGTATAAGATCAGCTAAGAGAATGAAGATATGCTGCGCAAAGTACTTATACGTCCTTGGCCAGGTAAAGAGATGAGAAACACCTCCTAGAAGATGTCCTACTTTGAGCAAGAGAGGCTCATGGAGGTGTAATGAGAAGAGAATGATGCATATATGTTTGTTTATTAACTGTTATAATGTCATTAGGGAAGCTTTATATCTTTTCTTCTGTTCATATGTTGCCAATATTTTCTTAGGAACTTAGGCAGAGAAGAATCCGAGTTGTTGAGGGAAAGACCTCAAGAATTCCATGGGTTATTGACATTAAAAATCTCACCCTTTTTAGGGCTGCTATAGCAGGAGAAAAAAATGACAAAGGTGAGGCCATTGAAGGATGCAATGGGCAAGAATAGGGCTGTTATGTGATTAGGGATGTTGTGCACTTGTGGGAACTATCACATGAAGTATAATTTGAAGCATGTTGTATTTTGAAAAATATGTTTTATTTTGATGAATTTGTGTAGTTGTGATATATGTGGCTATATGATTAGGAGATATTTTGTAATATGGCTGACTTAGTAGATAAATTGCCCTCTGGATGTATGTGAACCGCCACACAATAGAAAGAAGAACTAGGAGTTTCTTTTGATAGATATTGTGCTGGAGGTAAACTGTTATAAGAACGATGTATGTTGCTTGTGGTGAACTTCCAATGTGATATGTTGCCTCATGATGTTGGGCTTCAATGAAACCTTAATGGTATCTTGTGTTGTCATTTTGAGGATTATAGCTAAACTTAAAAAGGGAGAAGTACAGGTCCACAACAGAATTTTCATCCCAGTACTCTCCTACTGTTTTTTTTTAACATTGATTCAAAACTTCTAGTGAAAAAAAATAGTACTCTCTTACTGCTGAAAAATTAGTTATATCTTCCGGTATCAATAACGACGTTAATTAATATTAAAAGCAAAAATTGTAGTGTTACATGTTGTGTAATAAATGTTAATAATCAAATGATTAATCCAATCTTTGATTATGTTTTGGTTCGTCTTTTAAAAGTTTAATTTTACAAGTTCAATTTTACTCAAACAAAGACTAAGTAAACAAAAATTATAATCTGACTCATTGAATAATTCAAAAAACACATACTAACAACTGATAACATAACGTTTTGGAAATTTATATGTCAACAAATCTTAACAGGTTATTTCTTTCTGTTTCTTTTCTTTCTACATTGTCATTTTTTGAATTTAAATTTGAATTTGGAACAATGGTGTATTGGGGACCATCTGTCATCAAAACGCTGCATCTAATCTACTGTTTACTCAACGTAGAAATTAATTACATCTCAGGTTTAATGATTGTTGCTTAATTTGAGGAATAAAGGTTTTGGAAATCGTCCAATATAATTAAAAGCTTAATTTGGGGACCATCTGTCATCAAACCGTTGCTTAATTTGAGGAATAATGGTTTTGAAAATTGTCCAATATAATTAAAAGCTTAATTTGGGGACCATTTGTCAAAAAAATTTATTTATATAAAAGAATGATAAAAGAAGAATGATAAAATTTTACAAATTTGTGTTTACAAAAATAAAAATCGAAGTTAGGAATTCAATTATAAAAGAAGAATGGTGAAATTTTAATTTAATTATAAAAATGTGTTGGTGGGCCGGTCTTTCAGGCCGAGCCCAGTTTGTCACCTCTAACTATCAGCATGCAATAGATTTTTATATTTATCCACAAAAAATGTTCTTATAGTCACATTTAGGTTTTTATATTTTATCTCAGAGATGAACTTTCATTTATTACAATCAGATTTAAAAAATAATAATAAAAAATTATTTTTTGCAAGAATTTGTGTCGTTTGTATTTGAAATTTTATAAATTTGTATTTACAAAAATCAAAATCAGATTAAGGAATTTAATTATAAAAGAAGAATGATCACTTTTTAATTTAATTATAAAAATATGTTGGTTGGCTGGCCCTTTGGGCCGAGCCTAGTTTGCCACCTCTAACTATTAGTATGTAATAAGTTTTTATATTTATCCATAAAAAAAGGCTCTTATAGTTGCGTCTAGATTTTTATATTTTATCTCAGAGATGAAGTTTCATTTATTCCAATTAGATTTACAAAATAATAATAAATAATTATTTTTTTGCAAGGAGTTGTGTCGTTATTATTTGGAATTTTATAAATTTGTATTTACAAAAATTGAAATCTGAATTAGGAATTTAATTATAAAAAAAGAAGGATACCAAAAAAATTAATTATAAAAAAATAATAGTGGAATTTTAATTTAATTATAAAAATGTGTTGACGGGCAGGCCCTTTGAGCCAAACCCAGTTTGCAACCTTAACTATCAATAATTTATGTAATTATTTATTTTTTTCAAGGATTTGTATCATTAGTATTTTGAATTTTACAAATTTATATTTAGAAAAATTGAAATCAAATTTAGAAATTTATTTATAAAAGAAGAATGACTAAATTTTAATTTAATTATAAAAATTAGTTGGTGAGCTGGCCCTCCGGGCCGAGCCTAGTTTGTCACATTTAACTGAAAATATTTTATATCAGCATATAATATGTTTTTATATTTATCCACACAAAATTGTTCTTATAGTTACATCTAGATTACTATATATCTATATTTTTTACAGTTGCCTTTCAATCGATTCTTTGTGGTCTGTGTATTTGTGACATATATAAGAGATAAAGAATTTGAGAATATTTGAATTCGTACGTTTAATATTCTATAAAACACCTTATAGTTGAAATTGATTAGGATAATATCAAAAGATCATTCATTATTTTAATTATATAATAATAAATATTATTAATATGCTTAACAAAAAATTATTAATACGCTTAACATTTTTCGACGCAGAAAGTTATGGTATTATTAATAGGCTTAACAATCACCTATGCAAAAAGTAGTGAGATATTAATACAGCTCTTTGACATCCAATTTTAAACTTTTTCTCCCACCTATGAAGTTTAAATTTTAAATTTATATTATTTTTTATCAACTATAAACATATTTTTATAAAATTAAATAGGTTTTTTTTTAATCTATAATTTTATATTAAATTCAGATTTATTATTTATATCTTTTTTTTAATGCAGAAACATTAAATGTTGAACTGTTTTCCCACCTATCATGTTTAAAATTCAAATTAAAAAGTTTAAATTTTAAATATTAAATATTTTCTCTCTCAATAGTAAATATTATTAATAGACATAATAGTTTTTCATACAAAAAGTGGTGAAAAACATCCTTAGAAGGTTGTGTACTTTCTCTAAATAATAATTTTTAGTTATTCATTCATGACATAGGAAATTGTGTTAATTACATTCTTGCAATAAAAAAATAAAAGTTTAATTTCTTTATTATATAAAAAATAAAAAATAAAAATATTTATAGTGATTAAATTTTTATAATATTTTTTTTTACAGAATGATAGAGATCATTTTATTTTTATTTAAATTTAAATTTTAAATTTTTTGTATTAATTATAAAAAAAATTATAATCTTTTTCTATTTCAATTTATGGTTTTGATACGTTTTTTTAAATTGGTTATAAATGCATATTTAATTTTTAAAATATATAAGTTAAATATTTTTATAAAAAATACTTGTACGGAAATTTTCCTCTTTTGTATTATGATTTTAAGTTAAAATTTTAATAAATTTTCTTTTAAAGTATAAGTACGTCGTTTCTTATTTTTTTATTTAAATTTAAATTTTAAATTATTTTTTTATCAACTATACATATATTTTACAATTTCAAATATATTTTTGTGTAATCTATAATTTTATATTAAAATTCAAATTTCTTATATATACACACATATATATATATATATATATATCTTTTTCCCATTACAAAAATATTAAAGTTGAACTCTTTTTTCACTTATCAAGTTCAAAATTCAAAATTTTGAATTTTAAATATTAAATAATTTTTCACTCAATAAACATAATAATTAATATTATTAATAGGTTTAATATTTTTTTCATACAGATAGTAGTGGAAAACATGTATAGAAGAATGTGCACATTCTCCAAGTAATAATTTCTTGTTTTCATTTAAGACATAGGTAACTGTGATTTTTTTCTATTACATCAAAAGAATGAAAGTTCTATTTTTTTCTTATATATTAAATTAAAACTCGTATTGTTATAGTGATTAAATTTTATTATTTTTTTACAGGATGATAAATGCCATTTTTATTTTTATTTTTAAATCTTTTATTTTCGTTGTATATTTTTTTTATATTTGTAACACAAATATAATGAACAAATATGAGTTGATACAAAAGGTATTCTACTAAATCGAATGTTTGGTGAATTGAATTGAATTGCATTTATTATAATCGAATATTTTTGTATTAATTAGACATATTTTTTAAAATTTTAAGCTATACATATATATTTAAAATGTTTATGTTAAAAAAATACTTGTGTGGAAATGTTTTTCTCTTTTTGTATTACTTTTTAAAGTTAAATTTTTAATTCATTTACGGTATAAATATGACATTCTTAATTTTTCATTTAAATTTCAAATTTAAATTAATTTTTATCAACTATATATACATATTTTTTATAAAATTTAAATAATTTTTTGTTTAATCTATAATTTAACATATTAAATTTAATTTTATTATATATAATTTTTTCCACTACAAAAACATTAATGTAGAATTCTTTTTTCAGCTATCAAGTTAAAAATTCAAACTTAAAAAGTTTGAATTTTGAAATATTAAATATTTTCCCGCCCAATTGACATAATAACAACTAGTATTAATAGATTTAACAATTTTTCATACTAAAACTAGTGGGAAACATGCATAGAAGGTTGTCTATATTTTTCATGAAATGATGAATTTTTCATTTTTAAGAAACATTGGTAATGCACCTTTCACCTTCCAACAAAATAATTAAAAACCATACAATTCCAATATAGAAATGATAGTGGGACATTAATTTGATGTCTGCTACTAACACTTTAATTTCGAGATTAATTTACTTAAAACTTAATTTTTTGTTATTTGTTTATTTTCAAAATTGGCAAGCAAGTGAGAACGCGCATGAGATAGAAGATTAAGCGTATTAATGGTTTGAAGGTTATAAGAAAATATAAAGTGATAAATTTTCCATTTTCAAGTAACATTAGTAAAGAACCTTCCATCTTCAATGTAAAAATGATAGTGAGTCATTAATTAGAAGTCTCGCACTAATTTCTTATTTTTGATTTTTGATTTAATTAAGAAAGAAGTAGGATATTAATACACTTGCTTGCCACTAATTAATACTAAACTCTTTTCGCATTAACTATTTAGTTTAAATATTTTAAATTTCGAATTAAAATAAAATGTTTTTCATTCATCTGTGATTTTAAATTCTATATCTCATATAAAAGCGTAATTAATGCTGAACTCTTTTATTTGGGTCTTTTGATTTTTCGATAAATATGAAAAAAACATTAAAAAAATTTAAAATGAGGGTTAACAATTTTCATGTAAAAATAGAGAAAATTTAATACAGTTGTCTCCCACTAAAAGATGTTAAATTCTTTTTCCACCTATATCAACTTTAAATTTCAAAATTTAAAAAAAAAAGGGATATTAATGAACTTGCCTGCCATTACTTAATGTGAACTCTTTTTTTTTTTTGGTCTTTTGATTTTTCGATAAATATGAAAAAAACATTAAAAAAATTTAAAATGAGGGTTAACAATTTTCATGTAAAAATAGAGAAAATTTAATACAGTTGTCTCCCACTAAAAGATGTTAAATTCTTTTTCCACCTATATCAACTTTAAATTTCAAAATTTAAAAAAAAAGGGATATTAATGAACTTGCCTGCCTTTACTTAATGTGAACTCTTTTTTTTTTTTGGTCTTTTGATTTTTCGATAAATATGGAAAAAAGCATTAGATGATTTTTAAAATGAGGGTTAACAATTCTCAGGTAAAAAATAGTAAAAATTTAATACAGTTGTATCTCACTAAAAGATGTTAAATTCTTTTCTCACCTATATCAACTTCAAATTTTAAATTTAAAAAAAGTTGGATATTAATGCCTATGTATGCCACTAATTAATGTTGAACTCTTTTCTTTGGTTTCATAGTATATTGTTTGCTTTCATTGTTATAAAGCCTTGATCTTTTAATTTTTCACCATTATGCATTTTTCGCTTTTTCCTCATTGATAACCCTGAACAAAGGATACATCATAAAATCATACATAAAGGAAAATCATTATTTTTTGGATATAAAAAGGATATTAGTAATTATGTTCGTGGGAGAAAAAAATAATAAAAGAAAAAATAAATAAGAAAAAAAAATTCTTTTGGTTAGTATGAAGCTACAATTGCATGGAGCATATACAAATAAAAGAAAAAAATAAAATAAGAAGCTGCAAAATTAAAAATCTAAAAGAGGGTAACTCATATCTTCTTCTTCCATCTAATATACTCACAAATCATTCTTCTTCTTCTTAACCCTAATTTCATTGATGATGTTGATTTCATATTAGATTGTTTGCTTTCACTGTTATAAAAGCCTTAATCTTTTAATTTTCTACCATTATGCATTTTTCGCGTTTTCCTCATTGATAACCCTGAAACATAAGCATAAAATGAAAAATAATTAAAAAAATACCCCTGAAATCATTTTTCCACATTTTGAGGAGATTAATTATTTGCCAAGAAAGTTTGTACTTGATCTACTTACCGCTCCCACAAAGTACATTATTTCTTGTGATCCATATTTCGCAGTAGTTGTGGGAAATCATTGTATATATTAAAAAAATTACTTTTTTTAATAATATATCATGCCAAAAGATACTTTTCCAGAACAATATCAACTCAATTATGCAATTTATTTGTTTTATTATATTCGAAAAATGAAAAGAATTATGGAGAAAATACTTGTAGAAGAAAAAATATATAGAGAAGAATGTCATACCTTTATCCGAGGAAGTACATATATTAGTGATTATAAATCATCTCGTCGGCATTGCTCTACAACAGAGCTGCAAAAAAAACAAAAAACAAAAAATATTACACGTTCATCTAATAGAAGAACAACTTGACAATAGCATAAATTCTTCCACCCTACAAAATGCATACATATAATAGTTAAAAAAAAGTATATCACAATAGAATTGCAAATGGTAAGAGAAAAACTATTACATGTTCATCCAAAAGAATCATCTCCACATTGTCGTCGAAACCTTTATTCTGAGTACATAAATAACGATATAATAATAGATAACGTAGAAGAATAGGTTGAGAAGATGAAGAAAGCAATGGAGATGAAAAATATGAGCACAGGCGATTTCACAAAGAACAACTCCCCCATCCCATATATCTTCTATTTATACACCATTAAATTTGGCTAGCACATTAAATATTTAAAAAAACTTTTCATTCCATTAAGGTTCAATTTAAAAAACTTTTCAGCTTCCAATAAGGTTCAATAAATTTTTGCAGGTTCCAATGCAAAAACCTTTCATCTTCCAAAGCAATTTTTAAAAACCTTTTATTTCCCAATACAACAATTAATGATGGTGGGTCATTAATCATCATTTCGATTTTCGTTTTTCCATAAAAAGTCATTATTACGATTTTTTCTTTTATTTTTTTAAATATTAATGCAAGTGTGAACACACAGTGTGAACACACACAGCTGAACACGAATCCGAGTTTGACACGTCAGTGTTTTGGAGGATTTCAAGTGTGAACACACAGTGTGAACACAAAAGAGAATTGCTTTGGTTTAACTTTAGAATATATACTAGTGCATTACCTGTGCGATGCACGGAGGAAAAAGATCAAAAATTTTGTCGTCCGTCATGGTTGGTTAATCGTACTGCAAACCTTATACTTACAAAAAAATTGTGTTGCTATTTTATTCTATATTTCATGTGGAAAAAACTACGGAATTGACACATAACTTTGCAAATATCAACCACAAACAAAGATTTGCTATTGAGAGGGATCAATTCTTTTTGCATACTAAAACATCAAAACACACGATAATACGTTATACTGCACAATGCTAACACGAGGAAGGGATATAAAAAGAAAAATGCACACCACTCATTGTAACACCTCGTATATATCCGATAATGTTATCATTCTATCGTATTAAGCTGCGCTTAATTAAAAATGCGGAATTTCTTTTCAATTATGATGCCATTACCATTACCAACTTGCTTATTATTCAATTAATAAAACATTGCCTGTGTGTGATTGCAATAAAACAGCTAACTAAAATACCTCATAACATAGATAATATAAGTATGGGTCTCTAGTCACGAAACTACAATAACGTAGACCGGACCATCTAACAGTTTATACAACTCAACTCAAAGTACTAACAACTTAGTGGCATGGACAACTCCCATGCTCACCCAAATAAGGCAACAAAGCCCAACATAAGTCTCAGCAATATCACACAATAATAAATGGCAGATTACATAAACAACATCTAACCCAGTCATGCTAGCATATAAGTAGTAAAACATAATCAACTAAGCTCTGGTCTCCTGCCACCAGAGGCATCAGTCACCATACTACTACCTGAACCTGAAATAAGCATTCTCCAAACGTTGGGTGAGATCTCTAAACCAGAAATCTCAGTAAGACAAGGGGTCCTCAAGGATCTTCCACTCTAAGCTCACTTACATGTGCAATATAAGTTCCAAAAGCAGTTTATCAATATAATTTCGAAAACAGTGCAATGTAGCAGATAATCATGTCATGTGTGTCAATACTAATTCTACTGGCCAGAGAAATGCAGGAATAAGTATACGTCTATTACCCACAAATAGTGCAAGATGCCACTTGCATCCACCCCGGATCACCGTATTGTATGACGTCACATACTCAGACTTACCGTCAAGATGGAACAACACATGCATATTAAAAGCCATTACACATAAAGCTCAACAACATTTCAAATATTCAAAGCATGTAACACAACGTGCATATAACCATACCCCCATGGAACATGGTGGAACCACAACATGGCTAAACCGAGGACACGAAAGCTTACCTTGCAAGCTAGCTACCCAAAGCCAAAAGTCCACAGCTCAAGTCCAACACACAGCAGATCACAATCTGTTATGGACCAATACTATATCAATAATTATGCACCTCAAGCATACAACTTAAAGACAACGCCTTTCCTTAACGTTTCACGTCTTAAGGCTCCATACCAAGCCATAAGCCCTTAATCACTTGATTCTGACTTAGTTCATTAATTACAGAATTTCAACTTCATCAATCTAGGGTCCACAAACCCATAAATCAATTCTGGATGAACAGTACGCTACTGTTCATCGCAAACCCAGAATATCCAGATATTCCTCGGGAGCATACCCGGATATCCAATATCCGGATATCAATATCCAGATATTTCACGAGCAAATAACCGGATATTTCGCGACAGAATGCAGTTTCTGCATTTCGCGAAGATATCCTTCCAAGATTCCATTTTTAACACTTAAATAAGTTAAAGCATGCATTTTTATACCCTCTTAGGTTTACATACCAGTTGGTTACTTGCTTAACCCATTAACATGCAAAGACATCACCTTTAACCCATTAAAACTCATGATCAAGGTTGGTATAACTTACCAAAGTCCAAAATAGAGGAAAAATGGTGCTCTTGGAGCTCACTTGAAGCTCCCAAAGTCCAGCACACACAAGGACACGAAAATGGTGGTCAAAAGTTATCTTTTCACACTAAAGGTCACTCCTTGAAGCTCCCACAACCAAAACAAAGCTCCAACCACTCAACCCAAGAACTCAGCCCCACACTTCCATACAAGACAGCTCCCTCAACTCAGCAAGAGCTGGACCTCAACCTCCCAATGCACTCACCCAAGTGTTTACTCAACAAAAGAGAAGAAACCAAGGAGAAAAGAAGCTCCTTGGCTCACAAAAATGGAGGAGAAGGTGGCAAAAGTGTGGATGACTTCAAGACTCAGCCAAACTCACGTAGGAGGCATAACATGGCCTAGGGTTTTGTGCAAAATGCACTTATATAGATGGTTAAGTCACTACCACACAATATTAACTTTAATTGCTACGCTTAACATTTTAATTCCAAACTCAAGATTCTTAATCTAGTCATTTTTCTAAGATTTTTCATATTTTTTTTATAATTTTCGGAGCACCTTTCTGGTACGCGCTTTTCCATAGCCAGTATCAGTTTTGGCACCAATTCTCATTATTTTAACTTGAAACTCGTTTTAAAAGTCCTATATATTATTCCCATAATATATAATCACTTTTTATAATTTTATGAGATACTTTTTCGGTACGCATTTATACCGACTAGCAGAACCGGTATCTGCATTTTTCTTCCGAAAAGTGACTTTCAACATTATAACTCACTTACTATATTTATTTAAGCCTCATAATAATTATTAGTGTCAATTATGGAATTATTTCCTAATTTCACATAATTAATTAATTAAATTCCTCAATTAACGGTGCAGATTCTTACATTCACCCCACCTTTTTAGGATTTTGTCCTCAAAATAAGAATATACCTGTCTCGAAACTCGGGATACTGCCGGAGAAGCTCCTCCTCTCGCTCCCAGGTACACTCCTCAGGAGTTCTTCCTGACCATTGCACTTTGACCATCGGAATGATCTTGCTCCTCAGCTGCTTCTCGCCACGATCGAGAATCTTGAGTGGTCCGACGGGAGTCTTCAGGTTCTCCCGAACCTCCACATCATCAGGTTGCACCACGTGCGAAGGATCCGCTACATACTTCTGTAGCTGAGACACGTGAAACACGTCATGGATGTTGGCCAAGTTCGGAGGCAAAGCAAGCCGGTAGGCAATATGTCCTACTCTACCAAGAATCTGATAGGGCCCAATGAACTGCGGGCTCAGCTTCCTCACTCCGAGTGCCCGTCTAACACCGATGACAGGTGAAAGCCCCACGAACATGTGCTCACCCTCATTGAACTCCAGTGAACGATGCTTAACATCATAGTAGCTCTTCTGGCGATTCTGCGCCTGCTTCAACTTTTTCTTGATCATCTGGATCTGCAGGGTGGTATCTTGGACAAAGTCCAAGACAAACAACTCTTTATCTCCAACCTCAGACCAGCAGGTAGGTGTACGACACCTCCTACCGTACAACGCCTCATAGGTTGCCATGTCCAGGCTAGCATGGAAACTGTTGTTGTAAGCTACAAAATCAAAAAACCAAAAGAGAGTAACTCATATCTTCATCTTCCACCTAATATACGCACAAACCGTTCTTCTTCTTCTCAACCCTACTTTCATTGATGATATTAGTTTCATGGTAGATTGATTGCTTTTACCATTATAAAGCCTTGATCTTTTCCTTTTCCACCATTATGCATTCTTTTGCGTTTTTTTCACTCATACACCTGAAACATAAGCATAAAATGAGAAAAAACTATAAAAATCCTTTTTCCACATTTCGAGGAGACTGATTATATGCTAAGAAAGTTTGTACTTGATCTACATGCCACTCCCACAAAGCACACTCAGGCTTGTGACCCATAGATTCTAACTTTTGAGCAAGGTTAGACCTTTAGACTGTTTCTTATAAATTCTTCCAAGATGCTAGTCGCTAGCCAACTACAACCAATCTATAATGTGAACCATTAAAGGTAGCTCTTTTAGGACTAACAAAACAACGGGTCAATGAAAATGGATGAAAAAAAAGCCAGGAAAGCAAGCCATGGAAAGGGAAATTAAAAATGAGATATATGCATTAAATAATGAAGAAGAGGGACCTTGGTTCTCATAGGGTGTTGCTGGAGCTGTTTCAAGTAATTTTTCAGTCCGATCCCTTCTTTGCTAAAGACCCCAACTTTCTTCCTCTTTGGCTGGAAAGAGGTAACTGGCCCCATGACTAATGTTCAAGAAAATGAGAAATAGAATGAGAGTGGATGTAGGGAAAAGAAAGGATGGGGTTTGGGTGAAGAATCAGAGATGAGAAAGGCAATGGGAAAAATAAAGATGCCATTTTGGAATTTGGTATTTAAAAGAGTAATTGAGAGAGAGAGGAGGAACTGAAAAGTTTTTTTAGGTAGTATATTTTCAAATATCATTAATAGACTTTTCATCTTCCAATGCAATTTTTAAAAACCTTTCATTTTCCAATACAACAATTAATGATAGTGGGTCATTAATTAAAAGAGAAAGATTTTCGTTTTTTGTACACCAAGTCATTATTACGATTTTTTTTAAGTTAATGCAAGCGTGAACACACAATCTGAACACACAACTTAGGATGAATCATAATTTGACACGTCAGCGTTTTGGAGGGTTTCAAGTATGAACACACAGTGTGAATACAAAGGGGATTTGCTTTGGTTTAACTTTATTATATATATATATATATATATATAGATAGATAGATAGATAGATTAAGCAAAAAGCCAATTTAGCATAAATGAATGAGACAAAATGAATGTGCCGAATTCAAAAATATCATTTAAATGGTTTCGGTTGAACTTTAAAATGTAAAGTATGAAGATAAATAAATCATTACTTTTATGTTAAGAAATCATCATTTATTACTTTGTTTAAATTTTTATAAGAGGATGAGATAATAATAAATAATGATTAATTAGTTATAAAAAAAATAAAAAAAGTTATTTAAGAAGATATCAACAATACAAAAGATTGTCAAAGTCTAATCAAAGAGAAAGAGGAAAGAAATTTAAAGAGAGATCAAGAGTAGAAAAATTATAAAAATTTTATTCTTCGTGAAATTTTCTTTTTTATTCTTCTTCTCATCTTCAAGAGAAGACATCTTCATATATGAAATAAAGATAAAGGGATTACAAATATAAGCAATATGTAAGTTAATAAATTATTATTTAGAAAAGCTAAAGTTTATAACCATAACGGCATTTAACAACCCCTAAATATTTTATTTGTGGCTTTATCTTTGTTCATTGTATTGAAGCAATTGGAATATAAATCAACATCAATATCAACATCTTTATCTTAAACTAACTAGGGTTGGTGGTACCAATTGAAATATAAATAACACAACAAAAATATTCAATGAGGCAAGTTATGTTCTCGACCAAAAATAAGTTGTAATGGGAAGTATTTAAGATATGTAGCTGGTTTTAATTTGATAAGTGCATGCAAAATGACATAACCCCAAGTGATAATCTAGATTTCATAAATAGTAGTCTAGTGATCAATTATAATCTCTCAATAACCCCAAGAGAGCCATTGAATGCTTACTTATATACAATAATCATTAATTCCCCCGCATCATCAAGCCATATAATTTTAATTGTATAATGTGGAAATTGTGTTCTTAATCAAATTATTTGTGTAAAAAGTCTAGCACCTAGATGATCGAATCTCTCAAGTTAAAGGGTAAATGCTTTTGGACCAACTAACTTCTGGTTAGTAACAATATTATTTTCCATTGAATTAATGTATGCACAAAACAATCAAAAAGAAAAAAACTTGCATTTTTTACAGCACAATTTTGTGGCCAAATCTAAAAAATGTAATATGTAATGTACAAAAAAAAATTGTAATATGTAGGTATTTAATATTATTTTCACTTGTGATTTAAATGGGATAACCATTACAATGTATATGACTTTAAAACTTTTTATATTTTTATTAAATCTACTAGAGTATGATGCATCACTTAATATTAAATTGGTTTGTTAGTCTAGGTAATGTAATAGAAGCTCTTCTGGAACTTTCGATTAAGTTTGTAGTGCTGATAACACTTGTCTTAGCCAATCATGGTTGAGAAAAATATTTTATATTTTTAAAAATGATGTGTGTGGTTACACTATCAATCACGCATGAATCTTCATCATTCATCTTAGTGTCAAACATGGCGCGATTATTTATATTTTCTTAATTGATGATTGTAGAAACGCACTATTTATCAATTGGTAAAAACAAATTGTGTTAATAACATGTTATAAAAAAAAGAGGAAAGAGATTTAGGGAGAATTAAGAACATAAGATACTATTTTTAAAAACAGTTTTTAAGTTTTCTAAATAAAAAAAAAACTCATTTGATAAGGCCTGTTTTGTAAAAAAAATGTAATTATTTTCTTGTTTTTAGAATCAAATTCAGAAAATATATTTGAATTGTTTTTGTTTTTTATTTTGGTTTTTAACGTTTAAAACAAACAAAACACACACAAAATAACTGTTTCTATTATTATTCTATAAAATAATTTTAAAAACAAAAAAATTAAAACACAAATCAAACAGGCTCATAATTCTTCAAGAATTTTTCTTTTCTTATTTCTTTTCTCATCTTCGCACGAGGACATCTATTCGTTTAGGAAACAAGGATGAAGGGATTACAAATGTACATAATCTGAATGTTAATATACCATTATTTAAAAAGTTATTGAATATATAATTTTTTGGTTGTTATTGAATATATAATTTAGGAAAAAAATATTTCTACTTGAATTAAAGAAATTTTTTTCTATCACATTCATATAAAAATAAGTAAATCTTAATGAAACCACTCACTTTTATATATATATCACAAGAAAAAAAATTCTTAAATTTTAAACCCACTTAAAGGTAGTAGAAGGCGTAATTGGTGAGTCGCATGCTCTCATGTGTAACATGATCATGTCATATGGAAGGATATTAATTATTAATAATTAAATTAATAGTGATAATTGTCTAATTTCCTATCTTTATAATTTTTTTCTCTTCTCTTTTATCACCTTTAACCCACTCATGTACGATTATAATTGTTTCATTTGGCATATTCATGTTAATTACAACACCATAGGTAACTCCCACGTATAAAAGTTATTCCAAAAATTGACTGCAATCAATTCACATTAGCATGCCTATTCAATTTTCATTTCCCTCATCTTTCAATTCACATTCTTCGACTCCTCCTCCTTAACAAAAAAAGAAGAAGAAGAAAAGGGAATGGTAGAAATAGTATACAGTATATAGTATAGATTGTTGATTGTATTCGAAGAATGGAGGGGTGGTTCTCAAGCTCACGCAGTGACGATGATGAGCAGAAATCAGCAGCACCTTCATCCTCATCTTTGCTTGCTGATTGGAACTCGTACGCTTCATCGCAGGACAACTCCAATTCCAACTCCAATTTGGGGATCCCATTCGATCTCGAATCTGCTGTTAGGTCTGCTAACGACACTGTCACTGGAACTTTCAACGTGTAAGCTCTCTACTTTTTATTCACCGATTTGTATTTAATCATTCAGTTCTGATCAATTGAAACCCAACCTTCAACTTTGGTGTTGGATTTGAGACTTCAAGTGTCTCACAACTCTCTAATTAGGGTTTTAAGGCTATATCATTAGTCCCAAATCCAATCACCCTGTGAATTAAATGAAAAACATATTCGGGGACAAAATATTTTCAGGATTGGTAACCTTGTACGATCCTAATGACCTTATGAGCTTGTTTGTGATCCCACACAATCCCAAAATTTCCAAATCCAGAACTACAATCTAGCATATACAACGGCGCTCCAGCACGTTAGATTATAATTTTGATATTGTTGTTTGCCAATCTTTACTTTTAAAATCTTAGGTTTTGCTTCTGGTATGCCTTTGTGGTGAACGGGTGATCATGCAAAAAAATTGTTTTCGCACTATCTCTCATGTCGTAAACTTTAATTTAAAATCATCATATGATTTATAGTGGTTGAGCTTTGGTGTCAGTAACTCTTTGCTATATTCATGCTAATATACTGTATCGAGCTACTACTAATGAGATAACGTGGAAAAAACTGTCTGTTCTTTTCTGCCTTATCTGAATGTGGCAGAGAAATCATTGTTATTGCTCTTCAGCTTTTTTTCTTGACAGCATAAATTGCTGCGGAAAGAAAAGTCAATGGGTAGGTCCAATTTTCTCTAAATTTTTTTGAATGGATTGTTTACTCCATGGTGGAACATATTGAAATTTGCAAAGATATACCATTGTCTTGAACTTATGTACTCAAGTAGTTAAGCAATTTGTCTCTTATCTTATAATTGTTAGGGTTTCTAAAGGTGTGAGAGATATACCTGGCAACTTTCAGTCGGCCACTAGCAGTGTTCCTTCTGGGAAAGCACTAGTGTATTTTAGCTTGCTTCTGGCAAGTGGAGTCTTCTTCGTTTTCATTGCATTTACCTTGTTCCTGCCTGTGATGGTGGTTATGCCTCAAAAGTTTGCAATATGCTTTACACTTGGGTGTGGATTTATTATTGGATCATTCTTTATTCTCAAGGGTCCAAAGAATCAGCTTGCTCACATGTTTTCAAAGGAGGTAAGTTACTAGAATTTCATGTCATGTTATTTTCACGGTGATAAAATGACTTTACCAGTCATTATATGTTGATTCGGTGAGTTTGTTTAGTTTTTTAGTAAAACGGTCTCTTTGATTTGATTGCATGTGTTTTATGCTTTCTTCTGACTCTGTCTCTCTTTGTGATAATTTTTCAGAGGCTCCCTTTCACACTGGGTTTTATATGTAGTATGTTTGGTACCATATATGTATCAATGGTGCGTCACAGCTACATTCTCTCTGTTGTATTCTCTGTCGTACAGGTATGAGTCTTGTGTGTAGTTAAAAAGTTAAATGCTTCTTTGTTGCTTTGCCCTTCCCCTTGTGTTTTTATTAGCATTTTCTGTGGATTTGAAGTATGTGCAATGGCTTTTGAGCGTAATCTTGAAGTTACTATAGCAACAGTTCCTTCTATATAGCAGAAACATTATTATTCCAGAGTTTCTATTTCCAAGTGACTGGATTTATGTGATGGGTGTTGGTTCCAGCAACTGGGGGTGTGGAAATAGATCTTCCTTACAGATTAGTACATATATTTGTCATTCTGTTTCTTTCTAAAACTATCAATCTTGCATTGGAATTGATATTTTGAAATTGAAATCTTACATATATTATACTTACAGGTTCTCTCACTTGGATACTATTGTATATCATATTTTCCTGGTGGATCTGCTGGAATGAGATTTTTGACTTCTTCCCTCACGTCAAAAATAATGAAATGTTTTGGGAGGTGATTTGTTTTTTTGGTTAATGGGAGGTGAGGCTAGACCCGTACTTTGTCTATATGTCAGCTGAAGCTTTGAACTGACCCAGGAATATTGCTGAGATGAAGCATCAAGTAACACCTCCTAAGTTTTCAATGTTTGTTGCCACCTCTGAATGAGAAAATTGATTTTTCCTATTTGTCTCAAGTTTCTAATTGCATATTAACATTATCTGATTGATGAACTACGGACGTCTGTTGCTTTCATCCTGTTCCCTCCCTTCTCCAGAATGGAATATAAAATAGTTTTTCTTGAACGAGAATTTACTTTATGGCCCTTTATTATTATTATTTTTTAGGGAAAAGTTCACCAATGTCCCTGTGATTTATTCTAGAATCACTTATGTCCCTGTGGTTTTTTTTATCATATATATCCCTGTGGTTTGCAAAAGGGTATTGTTTTTTATCACATATGCCCTTGTGGTTTTTTATTTTTTAAAAGCACAGGGGTATATGTGATAAAAAAAAAACCACAGAGACATAGATGATTCTGAAGCAAACCACAGGGACATTGGTGAACTTTTCCCTATTTTTTATCACGATTATCACTTTTGTTTCACATAATCACCTGTTGGCTAAATTTTTCAGGTACATGGTTTATAATACTTATTCATTTTTGTTTTTTTCGAAACCATCTGCAAATCTTTGAGCAAGTTAGCGGTGCTCTTAATATTAAGAGTTTTCAGAGAATGATTCTGATCTATCTATTGATATCACTCAAGGATATATTTATATGCAAGGATTGGTATACCTATGCTGAACTCTGTCCATGATCATACATAAGATACAAAAGGAAAAGAAATAACAAGCTCCAAGGCTCGCTTGCCCTTGAAAAGAAATGACATTACAAGATAATTATACAATTTGATTTGATACTAATCTTATCTACTGATTGATACCAATTGATTCTAACACCCCCTCTAAATCTGGTACAAGGATATCACTCATTTCCAGATAAAAAAGTCAGAAAAAACACTACATGCGACCCCCTTAGTAAGGACATCTGAAAGCTGGTGCTCTGACCTTACCAATGGAAGACAATAGACTCCAGCTTCAAGCTGTTCCATGTTGAAGTGCTTGTCAATTTTGTTGGAAAATATCGGTTCCCTCAAACCTCGGCTTAGCAACTTTTTGCGGAAGTCAATCAACAAGATCCTGATCTCAGATTTCGGCAATACCTCAGCCTGAACTTCACCAGGTCGGGCAGCGCAGCGGAAGAATCAAAAACGAAAACCGGGAGAGAGAGAAGGAGAGAGAGAGAGAACACAAGCAGTTTTAACGTGAGAAAACCTTCTCCAATGAAGAAGTAAAAACTCACGGGACCTAGTCCAGATCAAAAAATCCACTATGAAAATAATGGTTACAAAGAATCAAATACACTAATGTGGTGGTTAACTCAACCTCTCCAACAATGGTGATAATCAAACTACCCTAGAGATGTTTCACTCAAACTCTCTCTAGAGATCTCTCAAATACAAAGCATAAAGCTTTGCTCAAATCTCTCAAACAATTTTTCTCTCAAATATGTTCTCTCTCATTCTAACCTAGCCTCCACCCTCAATTAATGAATATATAGAGGAGGTGAAATTTAGGGTTTAAGGTTTAGGATTTTTGGTAAACCCCTTAATGGGCTTGGGCTTAGCATTGAAGGAGGAAGCTCAACAAATCTCTCCCTCCTACTTCAATGCGTCAGCTTCAGCATCAACCCGGCTCCTTCACAACAGTCTTCAAATTTTCTTGCTGGAACCGGCTTCGTCATCATGTCGGACCAATTTTGGTCAGTGTGCACCTTGACGAGTTCGAGCTCTCCACTTTCCACCACATCCCCGATCCAGTGATACCTCACATCAATGTGCTTAGTGCGGGAGTGATAGGTCGAATTCTTCACAAGATGGATTGCGCTTTGATTGTCACAACCCAGCTCGTACTTGTCTTGGTCATGGCCGAGTTCCATAAGGAACTTCTTCATCCACAGCATCTCTTTGCTTGCCTCAGTCGCGGCAATGTACTCAGCCTCAGTTGTCGATAATGCAACATATTTCTGAAGTCTTGATTGCCAGGAGACAGCTCCTCTAGCAAATCTCATCATGTATCTCGTCGTCGACTTCCTTGAGTCGAAATCTCCCCCTAAATCAGAATCCGAGTAGCCTTGCAACTCGGCTTTACCTTCTCCAAATCGGAGACATAAGTCGGTCGTACCTCGGAGGTACTTGAAGATTCACTTCACTGCTTCCCAGTGCTCTTTGTCGGAGTTTGACAAATACTGGCTTACCATTCCAACAGCATACGCCAAGTCGGATCTATGTAGAGGTGTTTTCCTCAGCAATTATTTTTTCAATTCCCATGATGTAAACTTCAAATTGAGGTATTTATTAATTAGTAAATAATATTATTGAAGAATTATATGTACTTAATTAATAGTTTAAGGAGTAATCTTGGCGAGCTTTTTTAGTAAGATCATAAAATGTCCTCATACCCTTGAACACAGTATAATGTCCTGCTCGGACTAATTTTGATGAGTTCGACCCGCAGGATATGGATATAGTAACTCTATTACTTTCAATTTGTTCATAATAAAAGTTAACAAAAAAATGAAGTCAAAGAAAAATGATAAAGTCGGTAACCTCCTGAAACCCCAAAACCAGTGTACTTTATTTATTTCCAAAGTACAAATATGCAAAAAGCCTTGGCATTCCATTCATTACCTCCAATAATTTATAGCACTGGAAAGTGATTTGGGAACGGCAATGATGGGATCAGACTGTGATTTGACCATTTAATATTAAGATTTTTATTTTATTTTAGTGGAGCATATGAAGATTATGTATGAGGAATTTTTTAATATGTTTCCGGATTATCGTGGGCTTTCCACTAAAAAATTGACACTTGTATTATTTTTTTTTTTTTCTTTTCTCTCTCATCAATTTTTTTTCTATTTCTCTCACCTCAGTCCCACATAACATTTTGTGATCCCGGACCACTATAAATTCACTCTTATGAACAACCCTTATTTGTATACGGCATAATATTTTAATAATGGAATCATTGAGAGGCACAGGGCATCTTCTTCTTCGTCATGGAAAAACAAATAGCTAAAACTCAGTTGTGCACTTTGAAAGGTTTGGAAAATGGAAATATAAGATATCGAGAAAACAAGAAGTTAAATTAATGAATCCATGAGGTCATTCACTTAGGGAGAGTTTGGATGAAGAGAAATTTTTTGAATATTAGAAAAATGTAATTGATAAGGAAATGGTTGGAAAGTGAGTTTGGTAGGAAAATAAAAAAAAAGTTGTTTGGTTGGAAAAAAATTTACTGGGAAAATTTAGTAAATATTATAAACTCTATGTTTGGCTTGAGTTAAAATATTGATGGGAAAATAAGTTGCAATTATTAAAATATCCCTTATTTTTAAATATTTTGAATCTCATCCTGTGATGTCTATGTTTGATTGTGTGAAAAGTATTCTCATTCAGTATCATAAATCTATCAGAAATTGTCACATCATTTTAGACTATTCAACCTCTAGAAATTGCCTCTGTGTTCATCGCACTATGCTTCCAATTATGGGGAAGGACGAAGGTAAAGAACAAATTGAGGGTTGTTGTGTTCTTTCTCCACAGTTTTGAAAAAGTTAGTGTGGGGGTTGAGAGAGAAATAATGGTGGTGCTTCCAGTACTGAAGCTTGGAACACTGGCTTTGAAAACGGCGTGCAAACCCATCGCTAATAGGCTCAAGAAGGAAAGAGGGTAATTTTGGTAGTTATGGTGCCTAATTTTTTTCATTTACCTAGCTTTTGTGAAATACCACCTTGGAAGTGGGATTTGAGTACCATGTATTTTATCAGATTTTGCAAACAATTATGAATGACTAGGCAAATCACTTAGCTAGAAATTTTTTTTAGGGTTTTATTACTCTCATTCAACATAAGATAGATATCTTATGTTGTAGAGAGAAAATAGGTGGGTCCCACCATTACAAAAAAAAGAAAAAGAAAAAAAAAGGTGGGGCACGAAAATCGAAAGGAGAGAAAATGAGAGATGATATCTCATGTTGAAGGAGAGTAATATTTCCCTTTTTTTTTTTAATACCATGTACCAAATATGGACAATCCCAAATGCCAATCTCATATGCCTAGGTAAATTTCAAAAAAGTTGCTACCAAACACAACCATTATGAGAGGGTGGTAGTAATGCTCTAAACCCCTCTCACTGAATTTGCTGATGCAGTAGGTGGTAAATCTCAATTATGGAGAAATGGCAAGGCTTTACATGTTAATAACTATTTGATGGTAATGTCTTCATCCAGCGAATTTTCCTACCATTTATTGGCTTGTTTTCTGAAAAAGATATTGACCTATCTGGTCTTATCTCTATGATTTTGTGAAGCACTCACAAGTCACAAGTTGGAAGAAATAATAATCAGAAAGAAACAAAGTTTGCAATCGTTTCTAATAGACAAGGATTTGCGATATTGATCAGGATCAAGGCTCCCAAACGTGTGAATTTGGCAAGCGTAACTTGGCAGTGATTTTGGATGGCCATGGACCCATGTCTGCTTGATTGATGGGATTTCATTATATCAATAACAAATCATGTTTGTTTCCATCAATGCGTATTATTATTGGGGATTCAAAAGTCCACTTGAGGTGCATCGAATTCACCACTTGCTGACTCTACTGCACGTGTGGCATGCGTAAATGACAGAAGTTCCTATGATGGTACACTAGTAGACCATACCAAGGGTCCACCCTCAATGCAAATCATAAAATCTCTCTCTATTTTCCTCTCATGTTTCTATTATTTGGGGCATAGGTAAGCCATTTTATTCTATTGCATAATTGCACTTGTTTGTATAATTACTAAATAACTAGTCTCAAAATTAAATGATAAAACTGCTCTACTAATGTTTGGTCACTGTACATTTTGTAACCACTCTATTATGCCAGTCACATCTGAATTTTCCATTGATCTTCTCGTAATTGATAATCTCCTCTAATGAATATGAGCCCCTACCTAATTAACAGCCTAACACTAGGGGTATCTAAAGAAAAGCCACTCTTCTCTCTCTTCCCTATGCAATAGCAACAAGCTGAGGCCTAATAACATCTACACTCGCTTTTAATAAACAAACATAGGGGGGGGGAAAGGGGAGGTTTTGAAAGGAATACCATAAATTGTTGATAAACAATGCTCCAATCCAAAAAAGTAAGGTTCACCATTATGACAGCCTCAGCACCATGCAGGCATTATCACTATCACTGTTTTAAATTAGTGTGTAGCGCCATAGAAAATTAACCATGTGAAAAGAATCAACAGAACTTAGTCTTTGTAAAGGGGAGTGCTTTAATTACATTTTTCAAGAGGAGCTAACTAATTATCTATGATTATTTAAGATTTTTGTTTAGACATGAAGAAATTTATAGTGGATGGGAATCATCACCGCATCTTTTCTTCCTTTTTCATTTACCTCGAGATTACCAATTGATCCAAAAGGCATTCTTGTTTCTCATTGCTACTGGGGGAAGAATGACATCATGCCATTCGTGTGCTACAAACTAATTGTCCCTAGAGGAAGCCTTTATTGCCTTTTCACAAAGAAAATCTAACAATAAAATGGTGGGGTTAGAGGTTGAATCATTTCAGACTAATGCAATAATTCCCATCCATACATAACTGGTCTTTTGTCTCTTCTTTTGAATGTTATTGGGGTCCCTTTATTCAGCATCTTTTGGCTCATTGATCTTCCTTTTACCATAAATCATCTGTTATCATACACCATTATTAAGATGCTAGCTTTGAAATTTCCTTTTCATCTCTAAATTAGTACAAAAATTTAAGTATAGAGCCAAATTTATGGACCATGCTACAATAGCCTATGTTGCTATTTGTAAACACATGCAGTCGAATTCATTGAATTCAATGAACCAAGAGCTTCCACTTACACATTATACGCTGCATGTCCTAAGTTTACAATTTTGATGATTCAAGTGGGTGTAGCTGAAACTTCCCCATCTGTCTGCAAAATGTAGCAAATTTCAGATGTGACAACTGGTGAAGATTCTGAGATCATGCTAGATTCATAATGCATAGAACACAGTCATGAAATGTTCAAGTAAGGCATAAGGAAATTCAATCAAATCAGGGGTACTCATCTTCAAGATTCATAGATACGGAAGGTGGAAAAAGCAGTACCCTAAAGTTGTGTGAACCTAGAAAAGATTGATATAACTGTATATTCTCTAGAGACCAAGCAATATCAACATATACGTATTTTATTTATTTATTTTTCTTCTTAATAAGTGTAAAACTTAATCTATATAATTCATAATGTTTGGGCCACCCAGATTGAGAGTAAGAGATCACAAGATAATTTTCTGTTCAAAAGAAATGGGAAAGTTAAAATTTGAATGTGTGACAGTTCGATAGACCAATACCTCAAGGTTAAAGAATGAAAAGTTTTTCCTTAAATTTATTGTTCTCTAAATAATTACAATGGTGACTATGACACTGCAACAGAATTTCTTTTCGATTTGTTTTCCTTTGCCGCATTAGACAAGCCTTCATTATTTTCTTTTCTTTAAGGTATTTATTCCATTTTTCAGTTATTCGGTAATTATATTCTTGTTTACTTTGCCATGTTCCATCAATCTAAACAAGCTCTAAAGTTAAAAAGGATATACAGGGGAAGGTCTTAATCTTCTTGTGATACTGTTCCAAATTAACTAACTACTTGTTTATTTGTATTGAATTTATGTTTTTTTTTTTTTTTTGGGTCCAGAAATGTTTATATTAAAAATGTAACATCCTAAGCGCTAACGAGGGCGGGGAGTGATCGCCGGTGCAAAAGGGCATGGACAAGGAGCGATTCTTGACAGGCTTCTAGCGGGATTACATGCATGAATGAATCAAATCAACACCCGAAAGAGAGAGATTCAAAAGACTGTGCAGGTATGAGACCTGTAACATCCCCGTCTCAAGCCGGTTCAATTAACATGCATATGATATAAACAGAAACAGCAGAAGACTTAATTTACGAAAATACAAGCTAACTTTTTCTTTTTCTTTTTAAATTCTCATTCGACGTAAACGAAAATCGGACAGAGTTTCCTCTATAAATCGGACAACTGAGGATTTTCCAATCCCACTCAGAAGCATTTCCTGATAAACAGTTTATACAGCACATCAATTCAGAAATACCAGGCATCCAAATATAACCACATACCCATCCATGGGCGCATGCATAACATGGCTCCGTGCCACTATATCTAACAGCATGCAATCCAACACGTAAACGTATCTGAATACTACATCATCATATAACGTGCCTGAATACTCAAATATACACGCATCAAACTGACAGACATGTACAAAATATAATAGCCCTAGCCTAATTAATTAGTAAATTAAATGTGATTAAATAATTAAGCATGTATTCGTGAGTAAAATTAAGTATAGTGCCTAATTAAATCAATTAGGGTCACTTTTGAGGTAAAAAGTGTACTCAGTGAGAATTAAGGAGTATAAATGGGTGTAGGCAAAAGTACCAAAAATATAAAAATAAAAGTGAAAATATTCCTAGAAAAATATTCCAGACTTTTGGGTAAAGTTTGGTAATTAATGGAGTTAAATAGATAGATGAGTTGATACCCGTTCAAAACAACTTAACTAATGTTAAGTGATTTAAAAACAAAAAAAAGACCCATTGTCCCTCCCATTCCCATCGACAGAAGAAGAAAGAAAGGAAGGGAAGAGAAGAAGGAGAAGAGAGAAAGGTGAGGGGAAAACCCTAGATGTTGCAAACCTTGACCAAAATCATCCATTCAAAAGCCTAAGCCACTCCAAATCCTTCTCTCTTCTTGAATCCAAGCTAGGTTTGTTGTGGGGATCTTTGTGTTGTGAGATTTTCTCTCTCAAAAATCTGACCCTTTGAAGGTTGAAGGGGTTTGGGGAGCATTTGGCTCCTTGGAAGCTTGAGGAACCATCACTCCTTGATTGTGCAACCATTGGTGGTAAAATTCTACTCCTTGAACCTTATTTTCATGGAAATTGCATGATTGGGGAAGATGATAAATAGTGTTTAGGGTTTTATGAAAATGTTGATAGATTGGCTATGTTCTAGGAGGATTGAGACTTGGTGAATGTTATGAAAAATGTTAGTAATGACATTTAATCGGTGAAAATGAGCTTAGTTAGTCATTGGTTATGCTTTGAAAATTGCAAGGTTTAATGCTTGATGTTGGACTTTCATGCATTAGAAATCAATGGATTGGTTTGGTTGAATATTGATGGTGTCCATGTTATGTCTAGGATTGAGGCATTTGGACCAATCTTGAGTGACCAACCATTGGAGCAAGCTATGGAGCTTGATTAGCTCATTGGAATAGGTAAGTCCATGCTTTTGTTGTGGTACGAATTGGATAGTTTGGTTGATGATTATAAGATATTCTTGAATGCAATATGTTGATTGCATTACACCTTGTGTAGGTGGTTGTTTGTAAAAGTGATTATTGTAATTGGTGGCAAAACTTGTTGGTGAACAAAGGTTGAATTGAAGCTTTTAGGTAAGCCTTCGGACCTTGGGTATAATTCCCTTGATTGTTCCACCAAGCCCTGATTGGGTAGTGGTTGTGATAGTGTATATAAATGCAATGAAATAGTTTAATGCTTTGTTATACATATGTGTATGCTTTGGTGTGACATAGGATGGTGTTTCCCTATGTTGGTATGTTGCATGACGATGCGTAAATCATACTTAGTAGTTTAGCTGGCCAGTAGGACTATTTGCATTTGAGTATCCTTAGGACAGCTTGAGAGCTCGAGGAATTTCTCCTGGAGATGTTTGTTACACACTGCATGGATATGTATTTATTGCATTATTATTGTTATTGCTATTACACTGTGATTGAACTATGGGGTAGAGAGATGCTCCAAGGACCCCTGGTTTACTGTGATATATTTGTATATCTCACCTCGTGTTGTGGGGACCCCCTTTCAGGTAAAGATGCTGCAGGAGCCTCCGGTGGCAAGTGACCATATTTGGATTAGTAGATGCATGAAGATGTTGCATTCTTTTGGATTATACATGACATGTAGTAGTACCATGTATAAGATTTGCATTTGAAAGCCAATTGCTATATGTATTTCATCTTCTATTTTGATGGACTTAGCCTATGCTCATCTCTTTTGGTACCTCTTTTGTTGATGAGAGCCAAGGGGTTGATCATAGTGTTTTGTAGCTAAGTCCCATGATTTGTAATTAAGACATGTTGCAATGATGTAATGTTGTAATTGTTGGGTATATGTATATGATGAAACGGTATGCATGTTTCTATGATAAATGAGTACCTTGAAAGAATCATGTATTGAAGTTGTATAATGTCTATTATGTGTTAAGAAAGTGGTGAAAGTAGGAGGAAATATCCCATGAAGTCATATGAAAACAGGGGAGGGCATGTTTTGCCCAGTTTCTGCCCTTGGGCGCTAAAACGCTCAAGTTGGGCGCTAACACGTTCTGGAGACTCGCAGAAGACTAAAATTTCTGCCCTTGGGCGCTAAAACGCTCTGGAGACCTGCAGAAGGCTAAACTTTCTGCTTTTGGGCGCTAAAACGCTCATCCCGAAAACAGCATGAACATAGTTTAGTAAAATTAGAATAACTTGAACTACAGAGCTCCGATTTGAGCGCGGTTTGAACCCACTCGAAGCTAACAAGGAGATCTATAACATAGTAAGAGGTGAGAACTATAAAGGTAGTATAGAATTAATTGATAACAAAAGCGATGTAGACATTTAACGACGTGTGGTCTAATAAAATGAGAATATGATGTTAAGCTTAGTTTAATTATTCCGCAAAGTAATATGGTTATGGTCACGCAATTGGTTATTTGAAATTCGGCTTGTTTGAAAAGAAAAATGTACTCGACTTTCTAATTGACCCAATGTGATTGTAACTGCGCTTAATATCATAATGCGATGTTAACAAACCGGTTCTAGAACGGGGTGTTACACAAAACATATACAGGCCACATACAAAATAAAGGATCTAACATCATGATCCACAAAATACTGAAATACTAAAGGAAAGCACTATACTCCAAAATAGAAGTAGCCTACAGCTACTCAAAATCCAATCCGTCCAAAATCTTCAGCCACGGGTCGCGTCCCTAACTAGAGGGGTCTCACCGGGGATCTGGGCACGTGAAAATATGGACCCAACGAGGGGTGAGATTACAAATCTCAATAAGCTCCAGGTTTATAGAGAATTCTCCATACCCCTGGCTCACTCCTGCATGAAAGTCAGATACAGAGTATACAAATACAACATATAACAGATATCATAACAGAACAGAGCATATATCCATATCCTATCGGAGGCGTGCGCCGTCATTCCCAAGGGAGGGCTCCAAGCGGAAATCAACGCACGTGTTCCCAAGGGAGGACCCCAAGCGGAACCAGCAGAGGCGTGCGCCGTCATTCCCAAGGGAGGACCCCAAGCGGAAATCAACGCACGTGTTCCCAAGGGAGGACCCCAAGCGGAACCAGAACATGTCAGAGGTGTACATCGTCAATCCCAGGGAAGCCCCAAGAAGACATCAGTGTACCATATATCAATACAGAAATCATATCAAAGCAAGTCATATCATGTTATCAAATAAGTCTATGAATGCATCTATACAAAGTATCATATCAACAGTCATACATTCCAACCACAGTCCACTAACTATGGTGGAGCACTCGAGCAGGAAAAGACTCCTTAAACATAGAGCTTACCTCTTGAAGCTTTACCAATACGCTTACTTGTTGTACAAGTTACTTATATGTCTTCAAGAGATTCCGATCCTTTTTAGTCCCTAGGCGCACCTAGAGAAAGAATCCAAAATACAAATCAATAAAATGTTATCATGCCTAGATTCTCCATAAGGCATACATTTTACCACTTATCTTCCTTTCTTTATATTTTTGCCAATGCTATGCCAATACACAAGTCTAGACCACCTTATACTCGTTAGCATTCTTTAATTTAATCAAGTGTTCACTTGAGAATTTTCAACATAATTCATGCCATTTTCTTTAAAAGGCCGTGAACCTACCCTTAGGAACTCAAGGTATTTTTCAACCCTTTTTCAAGCCATTTCACTTCTTAACTCATCAATTTTATACATTGAATTACGACACATTTTATTAAAATAAAATGTAACAAAATACACCCCTAAACCACCTTCTAGGTCGAACACTACAAGGAATTAGGCAAGGGTTCTTTTCTTTTTAATTATTCTTTCTTCACTTAGTTAGCAACTTAAACATGTATATATGTATCCAAAGGTTCCAATACAATTTTGGAACATCAAGTCCCTTACAACCCCCATGGCCGAAGTGTAGGGATCAAAATACATAGGATTTTTCACTTAGGCCTTCTTTCTAAATTCATACTTACTCCCACACAATAGACCCTCTCACTACATCGCATAAAACTTTGCACAATAAACCCTATTAATCCTATCAAGGCCGAAACATAGAGGAGGGCATAGGATTTTTTTCTAATTTTTTTACATACATATAAACACTTATTTTCATTTCCTAAATCCAAAACATCAAGGATTCATCATCAAATCAAAGTTTAACACACAATGCTTTACCACCAAAAGATGCTCATAATTTTTGTACTAAAATCAACAAAATACTACCATGGAAATAGAGGTTTATTACCTCTAAACAACTACCCAAAGCCTAGAAGACATCCATCAAGCAAAGCTCCATGAAAAGCTCCACTTTCTTCCTTTGATGAATAGTAACACGAATTTGAGAGAAGAAAGAACTCTCTAAACTCTCAACAAAAGCTCAAATTGATAGTTGGAAAGGATTTGTTGGATAGTTTACAATCAATTTCATGTTATACACTTTGTGTTTTGGTGGGATATTGAAGAAGAAATCAAAGGAGGAAGATCAAGCCCTAACCCCCCCCCCCCCCCAATGATGAGCTCCTCGGGTTTGCAAGAGAGAGAAGGAGTTTTTGGTTGTGTGAATAGTACTTCACTTAAATGACAAAGCTTTATAACACATGTGACTTTTAACAGATATTTTTCTTTCGCGTATTTTCACTTAAATCGACCGGAACCAACTTAAAGCTACGGACATATTTTTTATTTTTCTAAACTCATTTACATTAATTTTTATTTTCTAAGAAACAATATTCTTAATTTACAGTACCGTTTCTGCACCGTTTTTTGACGAAATGCACTATGGTTCATTAATTGTGCACTGTTTGCATCCGAAACTTAAAACTTATAAACTTATCATTCTTGGGTCTATTTTGACTTGCTTGGCATATATTGGACTTTCTTATTCTCATTTCATCACTTATTTGCTTCTGGACTCTACCGATTGCTTAAATAGCAGTACTAAATACCCGGTAGAAACACTATTCACGAGATTTTCACGGAAAGTGCCAAACCATACAATTTTTCGTTCTGAACTTGTATTTGACGTCAGAATTGTCAAATTATGTTTCTAAAATCATTTTTAATCATTTAAGCTCTACCGGTTAATTCACAAAATTGTAAATTCTCCGGCAGAACGCATTGTTCATAATATAGTCATGATTATAGTCAAAATACTCAAAATCACTCACTGAATCTAATTATGACATTTAAATCCTTAAATTAAATCTCTAATTAAGATTTACCATTTAGGGTCATTATAAGACCTGCACAGTTTGAGATAGCTTATAAGAATTAATTGGTACTACCTATACTAACAAGATGCATCTACTTTTCGGTAGCCCGGAACGGAAGAACTCCATAGTTAAACGTGTTTGACTTGGAGTAATTCTGAGATGAGTGACCTAACTTCCCAGGAAGTGTGCAAATGAAAATACCTTTTACATGTTATTTATGTCTGCTTTTACACTCTTGCTTTTGAAAATACCTTTTACTTGCGGAAAGATATCTATAAGTAAAAGGCAACTATGGAATTTGTGCAAATGAATCATAAAAACAAGAAAATAAGATTTTTTTAATCTCATTATTTTCTATTTTTTAACCTGTAGCTTATGATGACTACATAGATAATTATTGTTTTCTGCAAGTTACTTAATTTTGACTAGTGAATAATTCCAATTTAATAGTTGGCCAGCATACCGTTCATCGTTTTCTTTTATTTCTTTAGAGCAAAGACCACCCAACACTATGACCAGATCTTGCACATTACAAAATCCCATTTTTCACATATAGCTAATCTTCATGTGCACCACTTCACAGATTTATATAAAAACAAACCGAAATAAGTTATTATTATTGTTATCATCATTTTTTATTATTAAGTGAACTAAAATATGTCCATTTTGTTCCTGTAGAATCACTAATTAGGAATACCCCAGTAATTTAAGTAAATTTGACACTTATTATGGGTACCCAATTTTAGATTTTGACAGTGGAAACAAACCCCTCTTTGCATATTTGATAATCTGGTTTGCTACTTAAAAGGATAGCAACCCCATCAAAGGCTCATCCACTGCAACCACACAAAAGAGATGGACCACAAAATGGGCCAAGCTAATTAAAGGAAGAAATTATCTTCTTGGTTAACCGAATACAGAGCTATTACATTCAACCATCATAATGTCTATTCTGTTTGATTATCAACCCATCACTATCTGTTACATAATCATCTTAATGACCCTTTTCGAAAAAGTGCTAATTCTATATTTTACTAGTCATAATGCAACTTAGCTATGCATTGTTTCCTGCTAATCGTAGCAGCTAAAAAATGAGGATGAAAAGTAATTATTACCAAATAAAAATACGAAACAAGATAATGCATAAGTGTCCACGTGGGGAACAAAAAAAGAAAAATCCTATTCACTCCACTATTTTCATAGCTGACAGTCCACTGTTAGTGAAACACTAGCTAACAGAAACTAACAAATTGGATTACATTCAGACTGCAAATTCCATACAATTTCAACCCACTACTTGAGAGGTTAAACATGAAGAACCAATATAAAAGGAGATGCTTACCTGAATAAAAACCAACAACCATAATGAGCAAGGCCATGTCCTTATCATTGAACAAAACCTATTACAATAATAAAAGAATAAAGAAGTCCAGAGCTTCTTCTCGTCCTCTATAAACAAATTATGATTTTTTCCCCCTCCACAATCCCAAAACACATCACCCTTTCTCTTCTCTCAACAATGTCTGGAAGCTTAATGAATCTGTCACTTTCTCCCAAAATCTTCTCCCTCACCTTGCTTCTCTTAATCAACTCTCTTTTCTTTTCATGTTGTTACTCCCTTAATGAACAAGGCCAAGCTCTTTTAGCATGGAAGAACAGTTTAAACAGTAGTTCAGATGCATTAGCATCATGGAATTCTTCAAACCCAAGCCCATGCAACTGGTTTGGGGTGCACTGCAACCTACAAGGCGAGGTGGTGGAGATAAACCTGAAATCAGTGAACTTGAAAGGTTCACTACCTTCAAATTTTCAACCTCTCAGGTCCTTGAAGATTCTTGTCCTCTCTTCAACCAACATCACAGGGAGGATTCCAAAAGAAATAGGAGACTATCAAGAGCTTATTTCCATTGATCTCAGTGGAAATTCTCTCTTGGGTGAAATCCCAGAAGAAATTTGCAGGCTAAGCAAATTGCAAAGTTTAGCTCTCCAGACAAACTTTCTTGAAGGCAGTATTCCATTCAACATAGGAAATTTATCAAGTCTTGTGAACTTGACACTCTATGACAATAAACTGAGTGGTGAAATTCCAAAGAGTATTGGCTCCTTAAGCAACCTTCAAGTATTCAGAACAGGAGGGAATGCAAACCTCGAAGGTGAGCTTCCATGGGACATTGGAAACTGCACCAACTTGGTCATGTTAGGCCTTGCAGAAACCAGCATTTCTGGGACTCTTCCTTCATCAATAGGGATGCTGAGAAGAATTCAGACAATAGCCATTTACACAACTCTTTTGTCAGGCTCTATCCCAGAAGAGATTGGGAATTGCAGTGAGTTGCAGAACCTGTACTTGTATCAGAACTCAATCTCTGGTTCAATCCCAAGTCAAATTGGAGAGCTCAACAAGCTTCAGAGTCTACTTTTATGGCAAAACAGCATAGTTGGTGCAATCCCAGAAGAGCTTGGAAGGTGCACAGAACTTCAAGTCATGGACTTGTCCGTAAATCTTCTCACAGGTAGCATTCCAAAAAGTTTTGGACAGCTATCAAATCTCCAAGGACTTCAACTGAGTGTTAATCAGCTTTCAGGCATTATACCTCATGAAATTTCAAACTGCACTTCTCTGACTCAACTGGAATTTGACAACAATGCTATTTCTGGCGAGATTCCTCATCTTATTGGCAACTTGAGAAGCTTGACTCTGTTCTATGCCTGGAAGAACAAGCTAAAAGGAAAAATCCCAGATAGTCTTTCAGAGTGCAAAGATCTTCAGGAACTTGATCTGTCTTACAACAGTTTAATAGGTCCAATACCCAAACAACTATTTGGGTTGAGGAATCTCACTAATCTGCTGCTTCTATCCAATGATTTGTCAGGCTTTATACCACCTGATATTGGTAACTGCACAAGTCTCTACAGGTTGAGGTTAAATCACAATAGACTTGCAGGTGCCATTCCATCTGACATTTCCAACTTGAAAAATTTGAACTTTTTGGATTTGAGCAGCAATCATCTTGTAGGGGAGACTCCCGCAACACTATCCAGATGCCAAGAACTTGAGTTTATGGACCTTCATTCAAATAGTCTCATTGGTTCAGTACCAGATAATCTTCCCAAAAGCCTGCAGTTAATAGACTTCTCAGACAACAGGCTAACAGGTGCACTGAATCATTCCATTGGTTCATTAACTGAATTAACAAAACTCTACTTGGGAAAGAATCAGCTCAGTGGAAGAATCCCAGCAGAGATCCTATCTTGCTCTAAGCTACAACTTCTAGACTTGGGAAGCAATAGTTTCTCTGGAGAAATTCCCAAGGAACTTGGTCAAATTGCTTCTCTAGAAATCTTTCTCAATCTTAGTTGTAACCAGTTTTCTGGTGAAATTCCACCCCAGTTTTCTAGTCTTAGCAAACTGGGAGTGCTTGATCTCTCCCACAACAAACTCTCAGGGAATTTAGATGCCCTTTCTGACCTTCAGAATCTTGTTTCCTTAAATGTTTCCTTCAATGCCTTCTCTGGAGAATTGCCTAATACCCCATTCTTCCGTAAACTCCCTCTCAGTGATTTCACTGCAAATGATGGTCTCTACATTGCCAGTGGTGTTGTAACTCCAGCTGACAGAATGGGATCCGAAGCTCACACCAGATTAACTACAAAGATCATAATTTCCATTCTCTTATGCAGCAGTGCAGTACTAGTATTGCTCATAATTCATGTCTTTGTTCGTGCTCATATTGTTAACAAAGTACTCATGGAAAATAACAGTTGGGTGATGACTTTGTATCACAAGTTTGAATTCTCCATTGATGACATTGTCTGGAATTTGACATCAGCCAATGTGATTGGCACTGGAAGCTCTGGAGTTGTGTACAAGGTAACAATTCCAAATGGCCAAACACTAGCAGTTAAAAAGATGTTTTCAACAGCAGAGTCTGGAGCATTCAATTCTGAAATTCAAACACTAGGTTCAATTAGACACAAGAACATCATCAAGCTCCTGGGTTGGGGATCCAATAAGAATTTGAAGCTGCTGTTTTATGACTACCTCCCTAGTGGAAGCCTGAGCTCATTAATTCATGGTTCAGGAAAGGGAAAAGCAGAATGGGAGACCAGACATGATGTTATATTAGGCGTGGCTAATGCACTTGCATATTTGCACCATGATTGTGTGCCTTCTATATTGCATGGAGATGTCAAAGCCATGAATGTGTTACTAGGTCCTGGCTATCATCCTTACCTTGCTAACTTTGGCTTGGCAAGAATTGCAAGTGAAAATGGTGATAACACCAATTCCAAGCCAGTTCAAAAACCCTATCTTGCTGGTTCTTATGGATACATGGCTCCTGGTAATTTTCACACTAAACTTGAATTAGTTTGAGTATTTTTCAGTACTTACATAACCCCTTAAACTATACTAATTTTTGTTGTTTCGGTATATGTACAGAACATGCATCAATGCAACAAATAACTGAGAAGAGTGATGTGTACAGTTTTGGGGTGGTCCTACTTGAGGTCCTAACAGGAAGGCACCCATTAGACCCAACTCTGCCAGGGGGTGAACAATTGGTTCAGTGGGTTAAGAACCACTTAGCTAGCAAAGGAGACCCATCTGACATTCTTGACCCAAAGCTGAGAGGGAGGACTGACCCTACTATGCATGAAATGCTACAAACTCTAGCTGTGTCATTTCTATGTGTTAGAACACGAGCTGATGATCGTCCAACAATGAAGGACATTGTTGCAATGCTCAAGGAAATTCGACCTGTTGAGGCCTTAAGGACTGATTCTGATGTATTGAAGGGAGTTTTAACTGTGCATACTTCCTCACCACCTCCTAAGAATGTAGTTTCAAATGGATCTCCTAATTTTTCCTTTAATTTCTCAGACGACTCAATGTGTTGAGGAAGTATGCAACTCATGATAAACCTATGATTCATATAAATTGTGCTTAGTCAAATGGAATGCCAGTTAGAGCTGGCCAGAATTAATAGAGGTATTTAAATGTAATCTCAGATATAGAATTTAGATTACAAGAATCCATATATTGGATGCATAAATAAAAAGCAATCTAAAGCCTTTCTCCCAACATCTCAAAGTTTTCGGGCTAATTGGTTTCTCTATATGATATACAAGATCTCCTTGGCCACAATGATATCTTTGCGATCTTTGTTTGTGCTTTTACTTGACATTAAAGTTTTGATGTTCTATTTTAAGTGTATGTGGTGAATGAAACTAACATGTAAACAAATAATAACATATTCCTAGGCTACAAGAGTTGAATTGAAACTTCTTTCGTGTTACTGCCAACAAGGGGATTTCTAGGACATGAAGAAGAGAGCAACCTCAGTGGAAGCTAAAACAATGATTGGCATTTTTTTTGGGTATTTGTATTTAACAAATACAAAATAAGATTCCTTGACTGCATCCATCTATCTCTTTCTCTCTCTCACACACACACTCTCACCGAAGCCATTAGTCTTCAGATTCAAACAGTGCCCACATAGACCCACGTTCGATACCTCACATGTCCATGTGTTGTCTGAAAGAGACTTTGAAGCGATTGGAAACTCCTCTAGAAGCACATATATTAGGTTGCGATTGAAAGTATGTGTATAACCTAATCATACGGTACCAAATGGTGGCAGCGCAGAGTTGGTAGCAAAACATCTGATTAAGGAAAACAGGTAAGTGAAAAGGAAAGGAATGGGTTTCAATTTGATCTCACATGTCGCTTTAGGAAAGATTTAAATATTTCGTCCCTTACTCATCCGGCAATTCGAATTAGTCTTAAAAGAGTCGAAGTTTACGAAGATATCGGAAAAGTCAACTCGCCTCAAAAAGATAATTAGGGTTGTGTTAAATAAAATAAAAAACCTAATCATACACACATTGTAACGTCCCAAGTGCTGGCAAGGGCAGAGAGTGATCGCCGGTGCGAAAGGACACAGACAATGGGCGGCTCATGCCAAATCTTGCAGCTGGGGTACATGAATGAATTGAATCAACATCCGAAAGAGAGAGATTCCAGAGACTGTGCTGGTATAAGACGACACAGTTGAGAATAACTTATAAGAATTAATTGGTACTTACTAACAAGATGCAACTACTTTTCGGTAAAAAGCATACAAGTCTCGTGTTAGTATGTGGAGATAGTCATTGATTCTTGAAGCGACCGGGCGTTACACACATGTATTTGCGACATTCATAATAAATAGATAGTCATGTAGCATATACAGATTGAAAAACGAACAAGGGAATTTTCCAATAAAAAAAAATATTATTATTTTAATAAAAAATTACAAAAACATAGAAATTTGAAATCAATTTACGGATCTATTGCACTCAGTCGCACTCCACATAGACATGACTCATCCGGTGACGACATGTGGCACAAAAAAGTCAACAATTTGATCGTAAAACTTCGGAAGGCCATAACTTTCGACTCGGATGTCCGAATCAGGTGATTTTTTATTATTCCACATAACATTTCGAGATCCATGCAATGACATCTCATTGAAGATGATTTGGTCAAAAAAATTTCCAAATTTTTTGGAATTTGAGATATTTTATAGTAAAACTTCAAAAGTTCATAACTTTTGACTCAAGTACTCTTTTTTTATTCTATATAACTTTTCGAGAGTTACACATGAATCATTATTCTTTATAAGTGAAATCATTATTCTTTATAAATGACCATTGTATGTTGTACTGTTAAGTTTCAACAATATTTGGTTTGCATATTTAATTCCTATCTAAAGAGCGCAACAACATTTTTCCATTTTTATTTGCACCAACTCTAGCTATATAGTTATCAGTTTAAGTTGCTTAATCAATTTAAGCCATTGAACATGCAGGCACACTAGATGTTATTTTACTGTGGGTGTAACGCCCCATTTTAGAATCGATTTGTTAACATCACATATGATATTAAGCGTAGTTACAATTACAACAATAGATTAAAACACGAATAAATTTTTCTCTTTTGAAAATATGCTATTTTATGATTAAAACACTTTCCGTATTTATAAACAATTCAAACTGTAATTTTAACTCATAAAAATTGTGGAAACAACTAATCTCGCTTAAACATTACCCAAACAAAACAGACAGAGCTCCATTTATTTTTCGGACATCTAGAGATAATTCCCACATGATATCTCAACCTGATAAAAAGTTCAATAAGTACTGACATCATCTTAGTCTATCCAATAGGCGTACAAGCCCTTCCATCATAATTGTATCAAAATACATAAATGTCCATAGACTATATAAATAAGAACTTAACTAATACACAACATATGATCAAAATCCTTTACATGCATCAACAACATGAAAGATATCCAATAACTATGATAATAGGCTAAGTCCTAATATGCAAAACATAAACAACAATGATAGTCATGTCAACAGCATGCAGTACAAGTCGATCTACTGTGGCCTCCTGCCAACAGACACTCCAGCACCATCAGTGCCTATACCTAAAAGGGGATCCCACAACACGGGATAAGATAAACATCTCAGTAAACCGGGGGGTCCTTGGAGGATTTTTCAACATGGCCTAAGCATCATTCACACTCAAACTACCTCATTCAAGCCACATTTACTAAAACAAAACCTAAAATGCAATTCTTCATAAAATCTATGAAAATGCTAGTTTCTTAATATGAACTCACCTACAATCATGCAAGGAAGGAATTGCAAGCCTCCATATAGATCAAACCACTCACCAAGCCATGGGTCACCACTTTTATGGTGGTTTTTCTCTCCACACACTAGTTTTTAAGGGATTCTATATTATATGTTGTGTTTGCCTTGAGATTCTAAGCAATATTGGTCTTTGCTTCACTTGATTTTATTGAGAGATGAAGAAGTTAGGTTTTGAGCTCAATCAACCTCGGGTTTGCAGAGGGAGAGACGAGGGAGAGAGTGAAATTTGAAGGGTTTTTAAGTTATAAAACTTGACTTTAGTTAAATAACTTCCAATTGGGTAAAAATTTATTTACCTCGTTCACTTAACTCTCTTTCAAGCCTGTCCTATTGGCTCATAATATTTTTACAGTAATATTCTCCAACTTATTTTTAAATTTCGGGTAATTTTGCCTACACATATTTTTAATCTAAAAATTCTCACAACTGCACTTTTTGCCCAAAAATGAGTTAATTAAATTAATCATACAATCTAGCTAATTAATTTCTAATATGAGTTATTAAATCATTAATCACATACAATTTTATTATTACACAAGTTAGGATTATTATAGTAGGTATCAATTCATGCCCGAGGGTAAGATTATCGCGGGCCATCGGACATTGATAGAATTAAGTATAATTTAAGTGTGATAAATTAATTTTTTTTTAAGTTGATTTTATATGAGTGGCAAGCTATTTGAGTTGATATGTTAATTTCATTGATATAATTAAATTTTAAAAATATTGATTTGAAATTTTTTAATTAATTTTTATTTATTAAATTAATTTATATTAAAATTCTAATATTAATTATTACATAAAATATATGAAAATTTTAATTTAAACTAATAGTTGAAAAATTATAATACTTAATTATGATATTGTTGATTATTTTTAATTAATAATTGGCGAAACTAAGACCAACGTGGGCTTAATTTTTAAATTTTTTTTATTAACTTACAAATATTTGATATAAGTTATACATAACGACGTCTAATCATTTTGACGCTTAAATTACATGTTTACCCATCTATATGTGTACTTTCATTAGAATGTTAGGGAAAATTGGAGTAAAGAGCCAAACAACAACCAAATAAAATTTTGGCTAATTGATTACTTGATGCCAACCTTACAAGGCGCACAACTCCAATTATGAAGAATCAATAGAGTTCTGTCATTATTAGCCAACAAATAATTCAATTGAGTTTTTGTTAACTAATACATCCACTCTTAATAAATCCTTTGCTTAATATCTCAAATTCAAAAAAAAATTGTAATATTTTTTTAACTAAATCATCTTCAATGAGATGTCATTATGTAGATTTCGAAAACATATGAAATTAAAAAAAAAAAAAATCTGATTTGGACACCTGGGTCGAAAGTTACGGACTTTCAAAGTTTTACAGTCAAATTGTTAATTTTTGTATGCCACGTGTTATCACCGGACAAGTCGCGCTTGTGTGGGTTGCACATGTGGTGCCTGTGTGAGGTGCCTACCAGGCGCGAAACTAAGTACAATAAATCTATAAATTGATTCCAATATTTTTGTAATTTTTTATTGAAATAATAATATTTTAATTTTTTTTTTCAAATTTTCCATCCTTTACAAGGTTCACAAAATTCTATGCACTAATCAAAAAGCTTATATAATTTTTTGTAGGTTTTCAGTAAACAACTTTTGGGCTTTACTACGAGGAGGGCTGAAAAATAATTGAGGAACATGACTTTAAGATATTGCACTGTTAAAAGAGTAAATTATATATAAAAATAGGAAAAATATTTTCTCACGTTGTTGAAAATACATTGTCTTATATCATAGAAATAAACATCTAAGATCCACTTTTTATAAATAAAAATAAAAATAAAATTAAAAGGACCCACATATTTATTTTTATGACTTGAGACAAGATGTCTTCAATAATATGAGATTAATAAATCCATTAAGAATAACTTCACTTCAACTTTCAAAATATCTTAGTGAAAAATTGCAAAATTTTGGTATTTTCATTTTCAAGTATGTACCTTCTTTTCTCTTAGTCATGAACTATTTTTCTATATATATCTTATCTGTTTAGACTCATGATTAAGATGATTGAATTAAACAAAAATCGAATAAGAATAATTATTGCAACATTTTTCACAGTTAGAAGGACAAACTCACCAAAATAAAAAGTCGAGAATTTTATTTGCAAAAACAATGTTATAAGAAAATCATTATGGATTCATTTTTTCTAAAGCTTCTTTAAATAATTTTGTCTAATGTTCATCGAAATGATGTTGTTTTAAGACGAAAATCATTGTATATTTGTAATTTTAATTTTTTAATTTTTCAACCAAAAACGACATCGTTTAGATATATATTAGATAAAGTTGCATAAAGTAACGTTAGATACTATTCTCCCAATCTTTATTTGGAAAAAGTTCAAGGAAAACATAACAATATGCTTTCTATTTAGCATCTACATTTCGGGGTAAATAAAATAATGCATTTGAAAAGAAAAATAAATAAACTTCTGAGTTGTTAGTGAAAGTTCTGGGAATTGCATTTCTGCATCCAACTAGGCCCTGGATGTCTCCATCGCTTTATGAAATAATACAATAGACGCCATTATATCATATTAATGGCAATCATTCAGATCTAGAAGCCTTAATGCTAGTTGCTGGCTGTAATTGGATAGCCATGTTGATAATATTTCTTGCGTAAGCACACATTTAAAATAAGCATGTGGCAATTGTTTCAAGATCATATAAGCACCACATCTCCAAAAATGGATAGCAGTTGACTCATAACTTCATAAGTAGCACCTCCTTAGTGGTGCTTGCTGCTTTGTCTCAGCCTCAATGTGAAAAAAAGTATCTTCAATGTATCCAGACATGCCATATGACCTTGAGCAAATTGAAGCAATGAAATACTAGTTTTCTTGCCACACATTATGAGCCAATGGAGGCTTCAACCCTACCATATTACACATTATACATTTCAAGAAACATGTATGGACCCCACCAATGGATTTCCAGGTTGGTATAAATTTTGGATATCCCAATTGTATGTGCACTATGGAGGATTCTGCTCCTGCCTGTCTAATTTCTTCAATATGAAGTTAATGACATTCCAGTCAAAGCCACGATATTGAAGCCACCTAACAATCCTTGATTTCCTTGTCTCCTTGGGTACATTCTGACCTCGGAACCACTGCTTTGAGGCCTGAGCATAAAGATGATCTATGGAATGCTTTGACAAGCCATTAACTGAGTTTTGATCTCCAGCACAATCATTGTCCTTAAAAACAACTTCAACTGCCCTCTCAGCATCAGCTTGACTAACTCCCTTATTGAACAGTGCCTGACACAACAATTACAGTTCATCACACAAAAATTCTTCCCTTGATGATAATAGGAAGTATGTGGCTATTGAAGACACATGTGGTGAAAACTCTATGCTTTGCCTTGTCTATTCTGCTCACCCCTAGTATGCCTGGGACATCTAAACTTAAGGGAAATGATGAGGAGAGAAGATTGAAGCCTTCAACCATGTTTCTTCTACCTTTTTGGGGGGAGGGAGATGGGGTGGGCTGAATTCAATCAAGGCATTTTTCATTTATAGGGAAAGAATGAAAAAATTCAATCAGATAATTTTAAAATGAAAATAAATTGAGCCGTCAGTCCAGTAGCTAAGTAATATGGAAAGAATTCAATCAGAATGAAGAATCATTGGGTTGGAGCTTTGAATTTGTTGAACAATTCGCTAAGAAAAATATTGTAAATATTAGAATTATTTTATTATTATTTGTAATAGTTAGAATACTCTAGAAGCTTATTTGGGCTTAGCCCATTAGGTCTTTTTAATCTCTTTAAATAGAGAATTCTTGTTAAGATATACTTACAATTCAATTATATACAAATCCTTCTTTTCATCTTTTTAATCTCGGGTCTCGTATCTTTGGATGTATTGCCTTCGTCCATATCCATAAACAACATCAGAGTAAATTAAAGCCCAGAGCCCTTAAACGTGTCTTCCTTGGTTATGCTCCCAACAAGAAAGGATACAAATGTTACCACCCTCCAAGTCGTAAATTCTTTGTCTCTATGGATGTTAGCTTCCATGAATCTGAGTCTTACTTTCTACACCCTCAGCTTCAGGGGAAGAACAGTATAGAAGCTTCGTCCATTTTCTTCGAGTCTGAGTCTCCTTTTTTGTTACCTACATCTTCTAAACCAGTAGTTACACTACATGACAATGAGAAGGAAGACTTAATTGCTGAGGCTGAAAATTCATCTGATTCCTCATGTGACATGCCTCCTATTGATAGACACAAAGTATGCAAAGCTGGGACACCCGAACTATTGTACCAAAGGAAGAAACAACTCATACTGCCCCACCAGCAACTGCAATCACCTGAACCGCTGGTAAGTACTGAACACACTCTTCTTTTATTCCTGAGCCTGATATTAATTCTGATGACTTACCCATTGCTCTAAGGAAAGGGAAAAGTTCTTGTACCCAACACCCTATTTCTCATTTTGTCTCCTCTAAGAATCTCTCTATACAACATAGAAGTTTTATTACAACACTTGACTCCATTTCATTCCCGAAATCAGTACTTGAAGCATTAAAGGATGATAAGTGGTTTCAAGCCATGCATAAGGAGATGAATGCATTGGAGAAGAATAATACATGGGAAATTATTGACAAGCCAAATGGGAAAAGGGCAGTAGGGTGCAGATGGGTGTATACTCGGAAGTATAATTTTGATGGGACTCTTGAGAGGTATAAAGCTCGACTGGTAGCCAAGGGATACGCACAGACCTATGGCATTGATTACAAAGAAACATTTGCTCTAGTGGCCAAAATGAACATTGTAAGAGTTCTATTGTCCCTCGCTACTCATTTTATCTGTGATTTGAATTAATTTGATGTGAAAAATGCCTTCCTCAATGGCGAATTAGATGAGGAGGTCTACATGGAGATTCCACTAGGATTTAACTCTACAAATGGTGATAATAAAGTTTGCAGGTTAAAGAAGGTGTTGTATGGCTTGAAGCAATCATCGCGTGCTTGGTTTGGAAGATTTACCAAAGTTATGCTTTCATTGGTATACAAGCAAAGTCAAGGGGATCATACACTTTTCTTTAAACATTCTCAGGAAGGTAAGACCATTATCCTTCTAGTTTATGTTGACGACATTATTATAATAGGGGATGATATAGGTGACAAATGTGCTCTGAAAAAAAGACTAACTGCTGAATTTGAAGTTAAAGATCTTGGAAAACTGAGATATTTTCTTGGGATACAAGTTGCTCATTCAAAGCAAGGGATATTTATTTGTCAATGGAAGTATGTTCTTGACCTCCTTAAAGAAGCAGGAAAACTTGGGTCTAAACCTTCCAGTACTCCGATTGAGCAGAATCACAGACTAGGAAGTGAAAATAAGAGCTCTCCAGTTGACAAAGGACAATATCAACGAATAGTGGAAAGATTGATATATCTAGCTCATATTAGACCTGATCTAGCTTATGCAGTTAGTGTTGTTAGTCAATTTATGCATGATCCGAGGGGGAAACACTTGCGAGCTGTGGACAGAATTCTCCAATAATATCTGAAAGGCACACCAGGTAGAGGACTATTGTTCCAGAGAGGAGGAAACCTATCCTTAGAAGTTTATACAGACGCCGATTATACTGGATCCGTGACTGACTAACGGTCTACTTCGGGCTATTGTATATTTCTCTAGAAATATTATAACATGGAGAAGTAAAAAGCAAAATGTGGTTGCTAGAACAAGTGCAGAAGCATAATTTCGAGCTATGGCTCAAGGTATCTGTGAGTTATTATGGCTGAAAAAAATCATTCTCGATGATCTCAAGGTGAGATATAAAGGATCTATGAAGTTACTTTGTGATAACAAGTCATCTATCTGTATAGCCCACAATCCAGTTCAATACGATCGAACCAAACATATTGAAATTGATCGCCACTTCATTAAAGAGAAATTAGACAGTGTAATGATCACTACACCATATATTCCTTTTGGTCGTCAATTGACTGATGTCTTAACTAAAGGTCTTCCTAATGATAGATTTCAAGAACTTACTAACAAGCTGGGAATGATAAATATCCATTCCTTAGCTTGAGGGGGAGTATTGTAAATATTAGAATTATATTTATTATTATTTTGTAATAGTTAGAATACTCTAGAAGCTTATTTGGGCTTAGCCCATTAGGTCTTTTTAATCTCTTTAAATAGAGAATTCTTGTACAGATATACTTACAATTCAATTACATACAAATCCTTCTTTTCAATTAAAACTTTAGTAAAACTATGACATGAGTCAAGCAGGAAAAGATATTATTTTTCTTAGAAATTTTTTAAATGCAGGGAAAAATCAAAGTAAAGATTACATTCACGAGGTCAAAATTCAGATACAGATAATTACATATCTTAGGAAATGATATAATTCTTATTACTTCAACTTTTACTATGCTAGTATCTATTGTCACATTCATCTCAAGAATTTCTACTGGAGGAAAAAAAAAGGGGATGCACGCTGCTCTGCTGAATTTGCAACATGATGTCACAATGCACTATATCTTATCCTTATCCTCCTAAATACTATATGCTAGAGTTAAAATGAAGATAAATTTTACCAAGCACAACACAAGCATCATACCAACACAAATATTGATCAAGAAGAAAAAATGCAGCATGGAATAGTGGTGGGGCAATGAATAACAAAGCAGAAAGTAACAGGACCAACAAAAATACAAAATAGACTAGCTTACTTGTCTGATCCGCCTTGGCCCCCAACTTGACGAAGACCATTTAGATTGAGAAAATGATTCAGCATACAACCTATCATTGATGAACCCACTGAAACAAAGAGATAAAACAATCACCATAAATCCACAAGAAGTATAAACTGTCCGTAAATTCAGATTTTATAAATGAACTTGAAAGGCGCATTATGAAAAACACTGCACAATGTGAGTATTTGTCAAACAGCAGAAAAAGTTTACCAAACAAGTCAAGTATTAAATTTTGTTGCAAGCATGCCATTTTGCACAGATACAAGCAGCAGACAACAGTATCATATTAATATGAAAAAATGGGTATGTGCAAACTTTTGAAATACTTAGATGCTTGTATCGACATATTATGTGCAAACTTTTTCATTTATGTGAGTCATTAGATACAAATAAACCAATGGTCAAGATTGAAAGTTAGGCTTCTTATTCTTACATCAATGTAAGAATAACCTGTTCGTGCTGTTAATGTGTTTGAATTAATATAAAAAATTATTACAGAATACGTTCTTTTTAAAAAAAAATAGTAGTCTCTAACTCTATCCTTCCTAGAGCAAGAAAATTTAAAAGGGAAAAGAAAAAAGGATTTTCAATTCCCAACTCCATGATTTCACTGTTAATAAATGTGTTCATCTTCACTCTTCTATGTTCTAAGATATAAATTAACGATTTTCAGTGGTTGGATAGTTGGCAAGTAATCATCGCAAGTGACCAAGTTAAATTATAATGTCAAAGTAAAAACTCAGATCTTTTCCTTTTCAAAACTACAATGTCAGTTAACAAAGATAAATTTATTCATTTCACGTCAACCTTGCAAATGAGGAAAAAAGTAAATGCATGTTTGGTTTTGAGTGACTTTTACAGAAAATTTGCTTCTTCTTTTTTTAAAGAGCTCTCTCAATAAGCTTTTGATTATAAGCTGTTTTGAACACAAAATAAACTAATCCAAACACACTAAATGTCTCCATTCCTTTTGCCCTGTTCTCTATATGCTAAACATGTTATGTCCACTTGCCCTTTCACACAAAAAAAGGGGGGAAATAGTTCATCAGTTTCTGACACAGAAAAAGTGTCAATATGTGTCGTATCATTAAAAAAATATACAAATCTATGCATCAACTGCTTCAAAGTTAAAATGGTACATAACATATTCCCAACTATACAAGGTGGGTCACTCTAAAAACCTAAAAATATTCATTCTTCCTCTACACCCAGTTATCTAGCTATTTTCCTCATGAGGACAACCCATGACAGAGGTAACAGTTGGGTAGAGCTGCATTCCAAGTCATCTTTGTGATAGCCATGTATATTTCTAATAGCAACAATCCCATTTTCAAGGCCAGGAATCACATAACATATACTACTCCCACTTTGTTGTAACTGGATGAATCATAATGCAAACCAAATTAAGGAAGTAAGAGTCTGAAAGCAAGGAAAAGTTTAAATAAGGATGAATTTGAAAATGGCTGATACATAACAGCTCAACAGTGTTATAAGAAGTTAACTACATACCTTCTCTGGAACTTGTTTATCACTGCCTCCACTGCATTAGGAGAGAATCTCTTTCCAAGCAATTTCTTTCTCAACTCAACTGCTGTGAGTGCCCTGCAGAGCAGAGAGACAGGCATGCTTAAAAAGAAAACTGCATTTTACATTAAAAGTACATACATGCCTCTCTCCCCATCAGGTAAAAGATAATAGTTGACTTGAATTATTACAAAATTTCTTCTCTACGTTAACAACTTATAAGCAAACACAAATCCAGGAATTCCATTGTTACTAAAAATTTGCTAAAAATTTTCAAAGACATGCCAAAATAAGCTACATTTCATTCAGCATAACCTCATTCTTTGATATAATGATATGCAACAACTCCAATCAAGTTGAAATTTCAGAAAAAATACATGGGATATTTGTTAGCTTTCAGTGGTTAAATATCATCAGGTTTCTTCAAATATCTTAATGGAAATCTTGAGAAAGGGTAAATACTTGACATATTGAGTAAAAATCAAAAGGCAGTTGCCTCAATAGGAAGCACAGCGACAAATGACTGGTAAATACTATGAGTTTACTGCAAACTCATAGTAGCATGCCAAAATTGATTTGACTTGCACTTGAGAAATGAGGAAACATTAGGCTCTCCAAATTTGGTTTAGAAACTCCCTATTTGGTTGACTATACAGTATATTAACTAGTCTAGCGTTGAATAAGTTTTGTTTCAAGGAAAGGGAGAAGAGGGGGGGGGGGGGGGGGGGGGGGGACAACTGACCTAGCTGCAAGTAATTTAATAGCTGATTGCTCAACATCACTGGTAAATTTTTCAATTTGTATTAAATCCTGCTCACAAGAGTCTCCTGCCTCATGGATTGTCAACTCTTCAACAGCCTCTTTGACCTCTTCCATTTGTCCAGAACCTACAATCCACAAATTAAGATGTTCAGAACAACTTCACTTCTTAGATATACAAGTCGTAAGTGGTATAACATTTTTAAGCTTAAGGCAACACAATTGTATCACCACACTTTAAAACTATAAATCATCAATCCCATGGCAGGCATTAAATATAATTGGAATGCTTAAAATTTCACAAATCTTTCACGTTTAGCTACCCGCAAATACGTAGCAATGTAGTTCCCCCTACATCCTGCATAGTGAAGAATGATGAACTAGAATGATGTCATACTAAAAGATGTATGAATTATGAAGCAGTTTACCTTCTTCACTGTCATCAAAGAGTAAGTCATTGTGAATTTCATTTGGACTTTGAGAAGTTTCACAATGCGCAATGGTAGCATGCACATCTTTTCCACCATTTATCTTCAGCACACTAACATCAGGACAGCTACTATACTCCAGGCTTTTAACTAGCACAGTAGTTTCAGGTATTTTCACCCTGGAGGATGTGTTAGAAATGTACCAAACAGGAAAAGAAGAACTAAAGTCTCTGCACTTCAAGCATCCAATCTGAAACTTCCAAATGGTCCTATTTTTAATACCCGAAAAAAAGAGATAAGAATCATTGCAAAAATCCTTCAGAATCTATCTATCACTATTAAAAGCTGAGTGGGAAAACAGAAAGAAATTGAAGAACTTCCTTCAACCCAATCCAGTTTCACCAATTGGGTTGCTAAATTAGAACTCCATTACTCATTTACTCTGAAAAGAATCAAACTTTTCTGTCATTTTTGTTTCCCCAACTTTTCTCTCAGTAGCCAAACAAAGGGGGTAATAAAATTTTGGAGTTAAATGAGAGAAATTATTACCGGGTAATTGAAAAAACGCGAGACGGAAGCTGGCACGAGATTTTGAAGCCGATGTTTCCCGCGAAACTTGCCATGTTCATGCAACCAAAATTTGTGCTTAGCAAGGATCTTCCATTCTTGCTTCATTTTCACAGTCGTTTGTTTTCTGGTCTAAAGAAGAAGATCATGTAATTTGGGCCGGCCCGGACCATTACTAATGTTTGATACCTGAGGTGGGCTAGGTCACATTGGTTTGGTCCAGCCCAATCTGTATCGGAAGTTCCAATGGGCTGGACTCAGCTTTAGCCCGTCATTCCCAGCCAGCTTGTATGTTCACTCCTCATTCCATGAATCTTATTATATATACATGTCACAGAGTGCAGCTTTTCTATATTTTATTTTAAAAAAATATTTTACAAATCCATCTTAAGACAATCTAGGTAATATTAGATGGTATTAACGTGGTTGATCCTTTTTAAAATAGTTATTAAATGGTTGATTTGGTATAAATACTGAATTTTTGAAATCGAAACTAATTAAGAAGAATGATTATGTAATTTAACTTGTTATAGGTCATATTATAGAAATTTAAGCTTTCTGTTTAGTTACCCCCTTTTTTTTTCAAGTCATATGGATTGAATAGGTCAAAGGATAAAAAAAGAAATAATAAGCAAGGGGTATTGAGACAATGTTGTTAATAACTCTAGGTCAAATTATAATAAAGGTAATATATGAAAGTAACACCCTTACTACCAAAAAATAAAATAAAACTCTTGGGGAACATTGACAAATGAATATCAGTTTGTCCTCCAAGCATACAGAAAATGACAAAAACCTTTAATGGATGGATTCTCCTCTACTAAGTCATGTCCGCTACTATCCTCACTACTTTCTGGGCATTCTTTGCTATTAGGATCACTAGTAAGTTCCAAAAAGCCTGGCTTGAAAATAAACAAGGCAGGGCCTGAACCGAACAGCCAATCATGCACATCCCAAAAGATTTGCACAGGAAAATTATTCACCATTAGTATTTCATTCCCTCTGAATCTCCAATTCAAGTTCATTATTCTACTAGCCAACATCCCATCTATGCTAATCCACATTTCTGGATCATCAGGCCCAGAAAGGGAAGTCTCAATGACAACATCATGTTCTCTTTTACCCTCTTCAAGCATGGCTCTTGTATAAAAGAGCTTCTTCCCATACACATTCTCTTTCTTGCACAACAAGGTAGCCTCTTTTGTGGATGGTTTTGATTTGGTTCTTTTATAAGCATCATTCTCTAAATCTCCTAATAATAGAAGTACCTCTTTCTTGTAAACCAAGGCAACATAATAGCCTGAGCAAGGCTCTGGATATGTGGAGAATTTTGCATGTCGAAAATCCCAGAAAATATCTACTCGTGCACCTTCTATTTCAATGGATTTGAGACCCTTCTTCCCCCATGATTGTCCGGATTCTAAATCAATCTTGCAGATATGCTTGTTTTCTTCAGAAGGGTTGTCCATGTTCATGGTAAGAAAGTGGTCTGTGGAGTTCTTGCACCATGTCAATGTCACGCTACGAAATGACTCTGCTACTATGGTTTGATACACAACGATGATAGAATTCTGAGGGTCATCTTTTTTTGTGGCAGGATCCTTGGAAGTTTTCTTCCTAAATGGTGGCTCTAGAATGGTTAACGACACAGGTTGTACAGGAGAATTAACCATTGTCTATAAATGTGACAACTCTGGATTGAGACTACAAATGTAAATGAATATGATTTTCTTATGGAAATTGTTGTTGATCCTCTTTGGCCTCCAATGGTTGTTTTGTCACCCATAGATTCTTCCTAAAATAGAACAAGAACGGACCATCATCTTTCACAGCTTGTAGATTTAAACCAAAGGGGCTTCAGAGGAGTTCTTGGTCAGAGGTCGAATGTTTAATGAATCTCAATGTCAGAAGATAATGTGCAATGGCTGCAACGATCTGAAATACGTGAAAATTAAGATTCACTTTGAGGAATGAAATCTATGCTGAGGTTGTCAATGAGGTGTCAAGTTTCTTCTTTTTATTGTTTTTATCTATTAATAGGTTAACGTTTCTCACAACTTAAAAATGAAAACAAGTTGAACTGCTAACTTTGTCCTTATGGATCCCATTTCTGCATTATTTTCAATATAATTAATTATAGTAAATGTCACATTTGGAAAAAGCCAACAAGAGAAGGTGCTGGTTGAGATGTTCTTGCGAACTTCTTTAAATATAGGGTGCTTTTGGAAAAATATTTCCATTATCATGCAGTACAGTTCAAAAAATAAAAAAATAAAAACAATAAAATAACAGAATTAAAATAAATCAAGCGTTATAAATACTAATTATGTATTTGTATATACCAATATTGAACTTATACTTATTATGAAAACAATAATGAATGAGACATTATCATATTCGAAATCAAAATCTCTGTGCCTCCAATCCCTGGCATTCGTTAGATCATTTCTTCTATTTTGGCATTGAACGGGTAAAAAAGTAAATTTAAGATGCACACAATTGTCCAAAAAGTTTCCAACAATTTTCTTTATTTCTTGCATTACTATTTTTGCTGAATCTTTAATAGGTAGTTGATTTCATAAAATGCAGTAAGTATATCTTATCAATAAAATTGTGTACTGTGTAAACAACACCTCATGATTTCAGAAGTATATTGACATCTGAAAATTTAAATTACATAGGAGCATGATCAGAATATATAGAAAATAGAGTAAGGTCGCATAAACTGACCTCAAGACCTTAAAGTCTCTACAAAATTACGTGAGCTGGCACTCCAACATCACATAAATAGTAGTAGTCACTGTACAAAATAAATTATATAAAAAAATTATCATTTTTTAACCTGAAATCCTTAAGATAAAGCAAAAAACTTTCCACGTGGTGTAGATCGGCTCCTTCTGAAGTCAGACATGGAAGTATTTGTGCCTTCCTTAAGATTGCGACCTGAACCATTTATAATTTTGTTTTCAACTTTGCTAGACAATAAAGGCTCAGCTGCTTGCACTATTCCTCTGCATGTGACACAAATGCTCATTTATGGTTACGAATAAGGTTATAGATATCAGTTTTAATATAAAGAAACAACTAAAAGAGTAAAGTTTTTGAATGATTCTTTTAGCCATACCTTGATTCAAGGTTTTGAGAATTCCTAGAAATGTTCTGACGTATCTTTTTAAGATTTAAAACACCGTTGACTGCACACTCCATAAAGCTAAGATCATTTTCTGGCTCTGAGTAATCACTCTTTCGAGGTCCCTCCACAGTTACTTCACCAGCAATTTCTATGTCAGAAATCAATTTAGGTATCAGATCAGCCTTTTGAATCCTAAAGGGCAATTGTTGATGATGCTTGACCTTGGCCCTATCAGCCTTGCTTTTCCTAATAGAACCTTGTCTTACTACACCAAGTGCTTGCTTGTGTTGTTCCTCTTCATGTTTTTGATGAACTTTCCTGGAGTTTACCTTCTGGAGATCGAAGAGATTTTCAGAAATGATATCCTGCTTCACTAGCTCCTGTGAATGCACATACACCCTTGAGTTGTCTTCTGTAGACGGGGCCATTCGCATTGTGACAAGAGATTTATTTACTGGTTGAAATGGATGCTTTAATATTGGTTGGTTGTCTGCTGTGTCACTTTTGATCTTGCTTTTAATGACAGACCCTCTGTCAGTGGATATTGATCTCCTGACTGGAGGTGATGGTGATCTACACTTCCCTGAGCTCACTAATTTTTCTTCAGCCAGAAGAGACCTTTTTGGCATGGAGTCCTTCTCCATAAATGTTGAGGGAAATCTTGACCTTCTTTGCTTACCCGAAGAACAGCTTCTAGCCTGAAAATAGAATTTCAAATTTAGAGAGTATACATTACACTTCAGTGTTACATAATTTCCAAATATTTTTTTATACAAATTTACTATAAATGGTTATATCTGGAATCAATAACCTCTGAGCTTCTATCATCCATAGATCTTTGACAATTTTCAGGCTTCATGCTGCCACTGGTGCCACATTTGGGCAAACGGAAAGGTGAAACAGATGTTGGTTTCTGAGATTCTATGACATTTTGTGCATTCCCAGCTTTCAATTGTTCCAGTTCAGTTTCCTTTCTCTCCAATGCCAATTTGATATTTGATATCTATAAAATTGTTCAAACTGTTATAATATTGACCAAGTTAAATTTAAAAAATTGCACTAGTTATGACCGAAAACAGAACCTCATCCTTTAGCTCTCGGATTTCACCAGTTTCTTTATTAGATTGAGCTGCCCCAAGTTCAATGGATGCAACCCTCTCAGCAAACTTCAGAGTGCTAATTGTCTCCCCCAGAGCATTGAGTTCAGGATTTATATGAACAAACATCAAAGTTTTTGCATGGCCACCTATTGATATGAAAAAGAAAAAAGAAAAAAGGGTAAAGTTATTTTTATGGAAATTCAAAAGAACTCTATTATGGCAACATCCAAACACATGAATATCAATATTCAACTTGCAAATCACAATCCGAAATCTTAATGTTGTTCTCACCAATTGTCATGAGAAATATGCACTAAGAAAAACAGGGGAAAATTCAATTTAACTCTGCTTGTTACCTAATGAATCTTGTAAAACTTGTGTGAGCTTGCTATTTCTGTAAGGAATATGTGGACTCTTCTGTGCCAAAGCAGAGATAACATCCCCGAGTGCAGAAAGCGATCTATTTATATGTTGGGCCTCCTTTAGTCTCTCACCAACAACCTCAGATTTGTCCACTCTCTCACTTCCAGCCAAATCCACAAGATGGAGACAACCCTTAAGAATTGAGTTCGAAACTAAATCCCTCCCTCTGACATGAACTGTCAACACACTGCAATTGAGTGGTAAAGAATTTTATTAAATTAAATATATTTTATGGGAGCAGCGATCTATATTCATGGAGAAGAAATTTTACCTATGAGAACGGCTGCTTCGCTCATTTAGAGCTGTAGCACCCACGGCACGGTTCCTCTGACCAATTCTCATTAAATCCAGAACATCTTGAGTACAATTAACTGGAACTAAACATGCATCAGGCACATTGAGACCATTCAATTGCGAGTTATTTCGTATATCTAATGTATATCTTGTTAAGGAAATGAACAAACTAAAAAAATAAATGCTACTGCTAAAATCAATGCAAGTAGTACAGATTTTTTTATTTTTTTTATTTTGTCTTTGCAAAAAGTAAAATTTGTGTACAGTATTGACAAAATGATTACGATGTAATATAAATACAGCAAGTATGGGCTCGAAGGATATCTTCTGTTAGAGCCATCGCTGACTAATAAATCTCTCACTTGTTCATTGTATATTTCAATCATCTGGACACCAACTTCATATTTTATGGCGTCTGCTCTTTCCTTTGATATATGAAATAAGTCACGCAAAGCTCTATAGTTTACACCCCATGTCTCTTCAGTTGTCAGATCAGGGCCACTCTATATAAGCAGTATATATCACATAAAAAACAAATATATAAGAAAAATGATGAGAAGATAATAAATATTCTACTTGGAATTATTTTAAACCCAGTTAAATTATCTTGAAATATTATAACTCTTTCGTTGTGGTTATGGATTCAAGTTCCTTAGAAGTTACATTCATTTTTATTTGTGCTGATGAAAACATGTTTTACACGAATTTGTAAATAGGTTGCAAAGTTCAATAAGGATGTTAATAAAATACTGGTTGGTTAAATATTTAAATTAGTCTTCTTTTCAAGTAGAAATGCCTCCAAACCAAGAAACTGACTAAATAGAATTCTGTACCATAACAAATCATGTGATAGATTCTTGATTTCAAGTGTCCATAACATGAACCAGAAAAATAGAGTGGATGAAAAGTTGTTCATGAAAAGAAAGTAGTTGATTGCAGTTTAAAACCACATAAATCCTTGCAATAATGAAAAAGAAATTTCAGATGCCAGCAAGAACTCCAATTTAAGTGAATGCATAAGGTGACATTATATGATTGGTTGCTTCTATGTGCTAGAACTTTTCTGTATGTAACATTACCATCGTGTAGGTCTTTCCTGAGCCAGTCTGTCCATATGCAAAGATGCATACATTATAGCCATCTAAAACGGACCTGACCAACGGTTGAGTATCAGCATATATTTGTTCTGCACATGATAAAGAAAATTCATCATAAAAAGCTTCAAATAAGAAGATATAAACTCCAAAAAAGATTATTTTATTCGTAACAAATATATTACAATACGATATCATGACTATCATCATATAAAGATCCATCCAGTATACAAATACTCATTCTTGCTTATTCTTCAGCATATAACCATATCCTTTTTATCTAAATATATATATATATATAATGCAAATCATTATTTTCAACTCTTTTACTACAAATTTACATAGACTGATCTTCAATTAGATTCATTTAGGAAGAACCATGTAGAACAAAGTATCCACTGGTCCTATACATTTTGCAATGATATGTCAACAAATTAAAATACCTTGTGTGACATTTGTTCCAAACACTTTATTGAATGAAAATACCCTTCTAGCATTTTTTCCCTGCTTAAGGGGATTCGCAATCATTATGTTTCCATTTTCTCCTATATAATCTACTGAAGATTGTCCGTTTGATTGTCCTGGTAAGAAGGGCCTCACTCTACAGTAGACCCTAATGGCTCCTGTAAGACAGCAAATTTATTAATATACTTAAGTAATGAAAGTACATCCTTAAAAAAGTGTCTTAGATTCTTCTGTACCTTTGAGGTCTTGTACTTGATTGTAAAGAAAGCGGTTCTCCTCCAAAACTTTGTGGTAGGAAGAGGAGGTCACTTCAAGGCTCTTTATATGGTTCTCTAAGAAGTAGATAGAACTCAATTCAATGTTATGAAGAACATTATATCAAAATATTTTACATACATCGAGGATATTTCTCATGGAAAAACAAGTCTTAGATCCTTACGAAGCCTGCTCAATTCTTGGTCCCACTCAGATTGAATTCGTTTGATCTCCAGTTTTATCTCTTCAAAGAAGTACTTCATTCCCTAGCATTGGAAAAAAACATTACAGTGTATGGTGCTAATCTAAACTCGCATGATAAAACATCTAAAGCGGTACATTCTATTCTCCACTTTTATACCTCAAGTTGTTTCTGCTGAGTATCAATTATTTCAGCATGCTTGGCAGAATAATTGACATTATGCTGAGTGCTATCACGTTTTCCACAAGTGCAGAATTTAGAGAAATCATTTGATGCCAAACTGCTTCTTTGATTAAGATATAATGTGATAGCTTCTACAAACTCTCTCTTAGAGAGGCAACCACTACCGCCTTTCAATATTTTCTTCAGGAGAAGTCCAAGCTGCGGACAATTATTGAGAATTATATTTTAGGTAACCTTTATTACTAAGGAAAAAGAAAAGACTAAATTACTAGCAATTGTGATCTGTGAAGTGGAAAACAACAGAAACGAAAGTGCTTTTACATTAAAAATGTAGTAGCAATACAAAAAGGCACATTAAACTTTGAAGCACCTGAGTCCCTTGAGAAACAAGCAATGCAGAGAAATCCTTGACTACCTTGCTGACCAAAGTATCAATTACCTACAAAATTACACCCAATCACAAATAAGATTGCATAAATCAAATGAATATTCATAAATTCACATCCTTAAAAAAAAAATTATAAACAACAATCTAATTTGACAGTCTTAAAAGATCCTGAGGTTTACAATTTCAAATTGAAATAATACTTTACAGCTTGCATGCAGCATTAGCACATCTCACGTGTTTCTAATGTAAGAGCATTTATTGCTTAGCTATCAATGCAATCATTTTTTAGATAGCCAACTAATAATCATAGAATTCATGCAACAAATTTTTGTACATTTAAACTAGAACAGAAGCCACAAAAATACAACACATTGGGAAGGATCTTACCGACCATTGCATTCAGAGGCAGATCTTCAATCCCATCAGTCTCTCTGAGGTAAGCCTGGAGAAGTTTGAGTCCAAAGTGATCAAACAGAAAAGCCAGAGCATTGGCAGTTCTGGTTTCTTCACCTGAGACCTCTTCAGATAGGTGAAGAAATTCAAGTATCTGTTCATACTGTGATGACTCAGACTCATCAAGGGACTCATCAGTACTTTCACTGCCCACTATGGAGGAAAGAGACCCCTTGGGGAAGGAAGTAATCCTCACAGTCCCTCCATACCTCCACACCCCAACTCCACCTGATAGCTTCCATTCGTAATATCCTTTCAAACAGAGTATGCAGTCCACAACTTTACTTGATGAACCCCCCTGCAAGCAGAAGAAATAACATGGCAAGTAAAAAACACTAAACCCCATCAACACAAAACTTCAAAATTGAGCAAAATTAAATGGCGATTGAGACAAGGTAGCATCTTTAATAACAAAAAGGTGGGTTATCAATTCCAAGTTCCAACCTTTTCCAAATCCGAAGCTTCAAATGTCAAAAGCTTCATATCCTTCACGGCCTCGAGAAAATTTCTCATATTCTCAAAATACTGAATTGCAGACTGCGCTGCTCCTTCTGCAGATTGAACCGCAAGGATGGGACTCTCTACCACCTTTTTTCCATTGGAATTAATTTCAAAACAATTTCAAAATAAATAATTAAATAAATATATAGAGTTTAAAAGACATTGAAATATGATGGGTAGAAGGGAAAACAAGAGAAAAGGGAAGAAACCCAGAAAGCAGAATCGGAAAAAGAAAGTACCTTGTGGACAGCACCGGGATTTACTTTGTTGAGGATGTTGCAGAGAATGAGGCCATTGCGAAGTGCAAGGCAAAATTCTTCTTCGGAAGGTTCTTTGGAGAGTGATGTTAATGCGCCATGGTCCATTTGCCGAAGCCATTCCGTTGCTTGATACCTCCTTGAAGCTGCTTAAAGTTCCACACAGTCACAAAACAAAGCAAAAGCAGCACTTTCAACAACGAAGAAGGGGTAGCGGGAAAACAATTCACCACCGTTTCACAGTGAATCGCATTTCCAACTTCGTTTTAAAGATAAATTACTGTTAATTCGAAAATAATATTATATTTTTGATCAAAAAGTGTTAACTTAAATTAATAAATCTTATAATTTATGACTGTTTTTAAAGGGTTATCCATGGTATGAGAAATTCCTCTCCTACTCACCTCATATAATATTATTACTATTTTTACCCTTTCTCTAGAAGAAACTCGAAGAGTTTCTTTTAAGTTGCCTCCATCGGACAGGGAGCCTATCATCGGAGATGACACAGAGGTTGGCTCTGATACCAAGTGTTCGGGAGCCTCACAATCCTTAAGAATCCATGAATTAGTCATCTATATATCTGAGTATTTCATGGCACCCCTTAGCCTCTTAACTCTTTCATTGGAGACTACCATCCATGAATTCTTAAAGATGAGAGGACCGTAATGCTGGATCATCACAGAGTCCGTTTTCTGATACACAGGATCCCTTTGTAGAACAAGTGTAGAACATACTAACTTCCTCATCCAGAGATTGGTAACTATAGTAAGAACATTATACTAAGTTTTCGGAGAGAAGAAAGAGTTTTTAGAAATTCATAGGGAAAACACACAAGCTTTTTTTTTATTCAACTCGTTATGCCAATACAAGCACACAAGGTTTCCTTTTATAGAGAAGGAAACATAATAACAACAAGCATAGTAAAGCACACCTCACCAGACATAATTATACAATAAGACAAACAACTTTTCTAAAAGTTGTATTATTGTTCACACTTTAATAATTCAAGCACACAAGGTAAATTACAATCACACACTTGTCTTTCCACTTTAGACATCATCATCAGTGTCAGTACTAATAGACAAATTTAAAGCTCTCCTTTCTTCTGAGTGGACATCACCATACATCTCTTTCCACCAAGGTTTGTCTGCTTTGGCTTTTTCTTCAATTATCTCTGCCATGACATCAACATTTGGATTTATGACATCATCATCTATTGGATCAAAGATCAAATCAATTTGCATTGGATCTAGGCCCCGTGAAGAGCTTGAGCCTGGTTCATGTGAAGAACTGGGCTGGTCTGTTGGTTCTACATACCCATTAAGTTCTTGGACATGTTTTAGCATGGTTGTCTTGGAACAAGGATCTAATGGATAATCATTAAAATATCTCCAGAAATATGCAATATTCTGAGACCAAAGAATTCCATCGGGCCTTTGCCAGTATCGTCTGTGGATGATGAAAATGGCAGTGATTTTTGAAATTTCTTCTTCTGTTTTACCTTCTTGTTCCTTTGATAAAAGGATCTTGTGCAGTTCCTTTCTCCACCAAGGCAGTGGAGAATATCATTCCAACAAAGTCCATAAAAAGTAATCTGCAGCTTCAGGAGTCATGAGAATCTCATAAGCTCTTTGAATCTTGAGAGCAAGAGGTACTGAGTGATTGACTGTGAGACACCATATTTACCAGAGTGTTTTTTCTGTAATGTCATAACCTACGTCACAAAAAACTTCAAGAATATACAAGAAAAGAATTTCTGAATTAAAGATAGAGGGTAGAACTTCTTTTGTTCTCATGGTCTCATGGCAGTAATAAAAGTAAAAATCTTTGGCAAATTTTTGGATTTGGTAAACTGAGGTAGGTTGACCTAATTCTAGAGGATAGTCTCTTTTGTGCTTGGCTGCTATGGGTAATGGTTCATTCATGAATATCAGAGGAAAAGGAACAGTGGCTATGCTGGAAATGACCTGAACAGGTGCTTTTGGCTTAGAAGGCCTGGATAGAAGGTCAAGGATGATATTGTGGTTTCCTTTGATATGCTTTACAGTGAAATTGTATCTAGAAAACCAATCTTTTAATCTGAGGTCTGAGGATCTGGTGGCATTTTGTTTTTGAACTCCAAAATCTTTGGAAAGGATGAGTTATCCATCTGAACTTCAAAATTATGACCTCGAGGATGGAAATCAAATTTCTTGATTCCATTTTTGACTGCTAAAGCTTCTTTGTAAGTGGTATGATAATGTAGTTCTGCATCTTTGAATTGACCACTTGCATGTCCGCAATAATATTTCTCGTTGTCAACTTCTTCTATTAGAACAACTCCCCAGAAATGATCACTGGCATCTGTTTGAAGAATTCTTTTACCAGTACTGGGAATTTTCAAGGCTGGTGGATTCTGAGCAATCTTTTTCAGTTCTTTGACAGCTTAAGTTTGTTCTGAACTCCAAGGAGGAGGATCTTTCCTTAGGAGCTTTGACAAAAGTCTGGTATACTTTGCTGCCTGTGGAATAAAATCTCTAACATAATTCACAATTCCTAAGACTTGTTGAATTTGTTTAAAAGTGAGATTTTCATCAGGAAAGCTTGTAAGTCCTTCTACAATGTGTGGCTGTGGCTGATACATTCCTTTAGAGAAATGCATTCCCAAGAAATCAACTTCAGTCTGGGCAATATGGATTTTCTTCTCAGCAAGCGTGATCCCATACTGATTAGCTAATTCTACAAATTGATTGAGCAATTTTCTGTGTTCTTCCATATTTTTGGAAAAAAGAAGAACATCATCAATATAGATAAGGATTATATCCAGGATTGGAGCAAAAATTCTTGTCATTGCTTTCCGAAAAAAAGAAAGAGCCACTTTAAGACCAACTGGAAGAACTCTCCATTGGTATTAAGCATTTGGAATACATAAAGAAATCTTGTATCTATCAGCAGGATCTAATCCAAGTTGCCAGAATCCTGATTTCATATCAAACTTGGAAAAGATGTGAGCATCTTTAAAAAGAATAGGAAGAGTGTCAACTTTTGGAATCAGAAATTTATCATCCTGCAAGAAATGATTCAGAGGCTTATAATCAATCACTAATCTCTTTTTGCCTCGAAGCTTCTCTAATCTTTTCTCCACATAAAAGGCTTGACATGCCCATGGAGATTTAGTAGGTTCTATCAATCCTTGCTTCAAAAGTTTTTGGCAATCATCTCTAGCCAATTGAAGGTCTGATGGGGACATCCCTGGATGAGTGGCTTTGGTTGGATTGACATCTTCATTGAGCTTGAAAGGAAGCTGTACGAAAAATTCTTCATTCTTCCATAAAGGATTAGGATGAGTGAAACCTGCATGATTATCTGCACACAACTGCTGAAGTTTCCTTTTAATATCTTCAAGTTCAGGAGGAGCTTCAGAAAGAGCATATAATCTCAAGGTTTCTGAATAGGACTTTAAGTCTCTTTTGAATCTTATCCCTTGAGGAAGAATTTGAAGTTTCTTAGCTTTGGTATAGACATCCAATGCAAATTGATTTGATCTTTGATCCAATAGATGATGATGTCATAAATCCAAATGTTGATGTCATGGCAGAGATAATTGAAGAAAAAGCCAAAGCAGACAAACCTTGGTGGAAAGAGATGTACGGTGATGTCCACTCAAAAGAAGGGAGAGCTTTAAATTTGTCCATTAGTACTGACACTAATGATGATGTCTAAAGTGGAAAGACAAGTGTGTGATTATAATTTAAAGTGTGTGCAATAATTCAACTTTTAGAAAAGTCGAATTATTAAAGTGTGAACAATAATACAACTTTTAGAAAAGTTGTTTGTCTTATTGTATAATTATGTCTGGTGCGGTGTGCTTTACTATGCTTGTTGTTATTATGTTTCCTTGTCTATAAAAGGAAACCTTGTGTGCTTGTATTGGCAAAACGAGTTGAATAAAAAAAAAGCTTGTGAGTTTTCCCTATGAATTTCTAAAAACTTTCTCTTCTCTCCGAAAACTTAGTATAATGTTCTTACTATAGTTACCAATCTCTGGATGAGGAAGTTAGTATGCTCTACACTTGCCCTGCAAAGGGATCCTGTGTATTAGAAAATGGACTCTGTGATGATCCAGCAATACGGTCCTCTCATCTTTACGGATTCATGGATGATAGTCTCCAATGAAAGAGCTAAGAGGCTAAGGGGTGCCGTGAAATGCTCAGATATATGGATGACTAATTCATGGGTTCTTAAGGATTGTGAGGCTCCCGAACACTTGGTATCAGAGCCAACCTCGATGTCATCTATGATGATAGGCTCCCTGCCCGATGGAGGCAGCTTAAAAGAAACTCTTTGAGTTTCTTTCAGAAAGAGGGTAAATATAGTAATAATATTATATGAGGTGAGTAGGAGAGGAATTTCTCAGACCATGGATAACACCAACACTGAAAATACCCCAGCCTATTATGCTACAATCTTCCTTGTCCCTTCCTAAACACATCCCTTCTAAATTTATAATTTATAATTTATTTATAAATTTTTATAATCAAATTTTAATTGTTAAATTGATGGAATTAAATACAAGAGTTTGTAAATATTATCGTCCAAAAACCTGAAAATATTATGTGCCATTCAGTTTAATTCAGTCAATTAAAAATGTGAGCTAAAAATGTTTACCAAAAAAAAAAAATGTGACCTAAAATACTACAAGTCGATTTTTAGGAGCTAAGCTTGGGCTAACTAACTTTGGGTCAAGTAGAACCGGTTGACTAAATATAAAAGTAGTACATGTCTATTTTTCTTAAAAATTAAATATAAAATTACACTAAATTTTTGTTAGTGCAGTATAATGGAGATTCATAGGTGGGTCTTAAATTATTTTTGTAATTTCTCGTAAAATTATTTTTGTAATTTCTCGTAAATGGTGACAGTTTGTTTCTTTTATAAAAATAAATAAATAAATAAATACATTTAACATATCTACTCTTATTTCCAACACTCTCTAAGAAATGGCATTTACTCTTATGCTTTTGACTTCGAATTCTGTATACTTTAATTACAATCACAAAAGATCAAAAGGTTAAACAAAGGTTAAAGTTAAAGTAGCCTAGCCATGATTATTACAGCAACGTATCATTGAAATGGTACCAAAATTATGGTGCTTCTTGTTTGAATTTGGGTCCTATTATTTGTTTAAGTCGTGTAATAATTAAGTAAAATGAAAAATTTTAACTTAAGTTTATTTGAATAGTAGAAAATAAAATTACTTTTAAGATATGATTATAAATTAAAAAATAGTAAATTCATTAAAAAATTATAGTATTAATTATTGAAAAAAATTACATAAATCTACGTGAAAATCAATACTTTTTTACGAATAAAACAATTTTTTCATCCCCGTAATAATAATAATAATAATAATAATAAATTGGTCTCTTCCAGTCATATAATATATCGGGCTCTTAATCAATATTGTCAAATATTATTATGTTCCAAATTGTAAAACAGTGTCACAGACCCACGCCTACGGTGCTTTATCATTATGGACTACACAATATTTCGGTGCGTCCCTTTAGCCATTCTTTGCTTAATTTGTATAATCAAATTATAACTGATTTTTTTTTTTTTTTAACCATACATTTTTCAATTTGTTAAGCAAAGCAATAAGGTGCAACATGCAAGTAATAATTTAGTAGCTCAGAAGAGAATACAAAGAGCAAGAAACAAGAAGAAATTTATCAGTGCTCTGTTCTAGTTTCAATCATATTTTTCAAGAGAAGAAAAAATTAACCTACCTTACTTTCAAAAAATAAAAACATCATTTTCTTATTATGCTCTTTTAGAAATTATTTTCAGAATAGTAAAAAATTTAGCTGGTGAGAATTGTAAGTAAGTTCCGAATATCATTTTACACCTCTATTTATTCATATTAACTTAGTGATGAAGTATTAGGAGATAAGAAGCAACTTTTGACTAACACACAGTGTAATATAAGAGAACAGTGCAATGTCATGTTACTAGTTCCTACCTGCTTCCTCTGCTTTCCTCTGAGCTAATTCATGATCGTTGATGCTCTCCTCCGTCACAGTGTATGAAGCCTCATTGTTGTTATAAACCGAACCCTTTAAATTCAATAACCTCTTGGAAGGAGATGTGAAAATTGAGTTTGGTAAGCTCTCATGCGGCATATTCCTCCTATGGAAATTGGATAACAATCTACCCCTTTTTCTCTGCAACACCAACAATTTGGAAAAAAATGCTTCAAATACAATTCTTATAGTATCAAATCACAAATAAAATAAAATAACTTTGAGTCTGAAAGCATGCATTTTAAGTTGGAATGGAGCAGTTTTTGTAGTGTTGCAATCCAATAATTTAGAGAAGGCAAAGACTAGAGTTAAAGATGATTGTTGAGAAAGAAAAATTACCTGGGAAAGTGAAGGATGAGGAAGAAACTGACGCTTTGTGGTTATGGAAATTGAAGCAGATCGGATCTGACACTGAAACCGAAGGTGAAGGAGGGTTCTCGTGGGTTTTATGAATGAACATTCAAAAATGCGAAGAGGCTTATATTAAATGCTTGGCATAAATGTCAGTGAGTGTCTGTTGAGTTGAGAGAGAGAGAAACAGAAGAGTCACAGAATAGAGACGAAAACTGAGAACAAAAACAACCTTGAATTTCAAATGTTGGTGTCTCCGTCACGGTGCACTAACGGCGTGCGGGGTCATATCCGATGTGGCATGAGATTAGGTGGCAAGCATGGTCCACCGTGGGGCCCGTGGCAAACGGCAGGATCCGACCTGAATGATGGTCGTACCATGGTTGTCCTTTTCAAAAATATTTGTTTCGTAATGCTGCCATATCTCTGTGTATTTATGTGACGGTGAATAAAAATGTTACTTTATGTATTTGCTTATTTCTTCTTATTAATCGTGGTTGTGTGAAGTGAGGAGGGAAAAGAAAAAAGTTGTGTGAATTATGAAGAAATTGAAAGAGTATGTGAAATAGTAGTTGGAAAGGAATACATAAAGGGTGTAAGAGTGAAAATATGAAATATACGCCTGTTTGGTGTGATGTCATGATACTATAAGCTTATACTATATGTTATGACATTTTCAGTTGTTTGGTGTGATCATCGTATAGTATAAGCTTATATAGCAGGATCCCTTAATACATCAAAATGATGTATAACTTAATCTGACCTAATGGGGAGGGATAAGACCTGATAAGAGGTTGGTGTATTAACATCGTTGACCAGTGACCAGTGTAATTCTTAAAAATTAATATATTATTTTAATATTAATATATTAAAATAAAAATTAATTTTTCAATATATTAATTTTTAAAATATTTAATATTTTTATTTTTATAAAAATTAATTTATGTTTTGGACACACTGATCAATACATTTTTATAAAAATTAATATCATATAACATTTTTTGAAGAATTATATAAATTCTTTATTAAAGGATATTTATTTTTATCCTATATAGTATTATATAGTGTATTATCAAATACTAGATGATATTATCTTATACAATATATTATTTTATACAATGTCGTGCCAAACGCTGGATAGTATTAAAATTCAATCAGGCCTTATACTATTAGGTCTTATCACATACTATGCACCAAATATGCCCTAAGATTAATTACACTAAAATGAAATAATAATCTATAACGATTAAAATACTCAAGAGTTATTTACAAAGGGCTTAAGGTTTATAAAAAAAAAAGGGCTTAAGTTAATAGGGAAAAACATCTATCCTTTTAAAGGATATAAACTTATATCTTTTTAGATCCTAACCATTGATTTTCGTTAATCAACGGTTATAATCTATTGGGTCAAACTTAATGGTCAAACTTAATGTGCCAAATTTATTATTAATTAATTAATAATTTTAATTCAATTATTATAACCGTTGATAGACAGAAATCAACGGTTAAGATCTAAAAAGATATAAGTTTATATCTTTTAAAATGATAGATGTTATTCTCTAATATTAAACAATATCTGTAATTTTTTTTTTTTGTAAATATATCTGTAAAATTTGGTTACCCATGTAACCTATCAAATAAGGTGTTTGAGAAATAATGTAATGTCTACCATGAGAGAATTCTTTAAATATGTTGACATAGCTAAGTATAAGTTGACATAATCATATAAGACTCAAAATAGTTTATAAAACTGCTTTATGCTCCGAAAATTGTATCCAACTCTCACTCTTTCCACACTGCACTATTCTTGTTTCAGGACACTATTTTTTTTAATCAATTATATATAGAGGAAAATGAGGGAATAATCGACTTAAATTTGTGTAAAAGTAATAAATGTTATCTTAATCCTTGATGTACTTTTATGTCTAGTAATTCAAATGATAAATAAATTAGATTAATTAAATATAAACAAAATTAAATACTCAATAAGTGATAATACGTGGGTGGAATGGAAGCTCCGTAAATAAAAATAAAAACATCTAAAGTTCAAAACGCCCCCGTAAATACTCCAATCAGTCTTCTGGACCAGTTGAAAACCCAAGTACAAACGCGAGTGCAATTTATGTCTGAAACACATACCGGAGAGAGATGATGGGACCCATTGCGTGACAGGAATAAAGGCTTATTATAAGTTTATCAAGCCCTGTATGCGTTAGATTTTGAAAAAGCTTACGAGCCAAAAGTTCTGAAGTTTAATCCTGTTTCCGAACGTTGAACTTGGATCCCCAAATTTAAAATCATTACATATGTTTTCTTTTTATGTATTATTTAGCATATTGCACCTCAAATAATGGACCAAACAAAAACACTTTCTATGCTCTCTTTTTTTGGTAGTAAAAAAGGGCATTTCTATGCCTTTTTTAGGTTGGTTAAATATTATTATCTTTTTTAGGTTGGTTAAATATTATTATCTTTTTTAGGTTGGTTAAATATTATTATCTTTTTTAGGTTGGTTATATGTACAAATTTTATAATACGTCAAAATAGTTTTTTGAAATTAACTCTAGAAAGTTTTTGACATTATTTTCTAAGTAGTACTGGATGATCCGAATTTTTTTATGATGTGTGAAAATAAAATATCAAAGTTATAAGTATTATTAAATATAATAAGAAGGATTAAGTATTATAAATATTTTTAGGGGACTAAATAATAGCATTAATAATAATAATTATTATTATTATAAAAATATCATTATATATAAATAAAAATTAAAGTTTAGAGAAGGACTTACCCCTCCATTAAATCCACCCCTGATCTTAATTAAGAGTTTTTTTTTTTCTTTCTTTCATAAGCACTTCTTTCATACTATTGGGCAGAACTTATTCAAATTTGAACAAAACTGTTGAGGGATTTTTTGTAATAAGCATGCGTTTCCAATGGCTAATCATGAGAGGATTTTCCACTTATATTGGTTGTCTTGGGTGATAATTTTCAACACAATTCACCCACCACACAACAACAAATATTTATATTCACGTTGACCCGTTTTTAAATTTATGTTGTGTTCGTGTTGATAAAAATTATCATAAAAAATTTATATAGTGTTACATGTCAACCCACAAACATAAAATTGAGTTGTATTAATATTTTTAGAAATTATTTGTGCTATATTGTCCATGTAAATTCACATAATAAATATTGCACTTTTAAGGTTACGGATTATTTATTTCATATGATATCAACCCATAAAATAAGTTACTTGTGTTCGTATAAAAAATTTAATCTGTTTTAAAATTTATATCGTATTTATATTAATATCGTGTCAATATAAATTATCACTACTAATCTTGACTATATAAAAACCCTTATCTCTCTCTTCACCCGACAATTACATTTTTCAAAAAATCCTATGATAGAAGTAACTAAGGATGTAGAACTTTTGATTAAAATATGATCGGTCAGATATAGTGTAAATTTTTTTTACAAATTATACTAAGTATGACCGATCATACACTCTTGATTAAAGTATATGACCGGTCAGACATAGTGTAATTTATAAGAGTTTGTAAACAAAAAGTTTGTAATATAATCTCCCCATATTTGATTATATCATATAACACAAATTTTTATATAATCGTTATTTTATTTCTGAAAGCATAAATACTTAATTCGCTAAATATCATATTTGTATTTGTGGCTTTAACTAGGGATGCAGACGACGACGATGCATTAATTAAGAACAGTGTCCTTTCTTATGAAAATAATGAAATTAGAATCCCTGTTGTCAAATAGTACTCAGTTTAACAGCGTTACTATTAAATAAGCCCATTGATGAGCGAAAAAAAAGGTGGCTTGAATCTCAAGTATCAAGACAAAGTCGCAAAATGCAAATGAGTTCCGTAATTATAAGTAACACTAATTCCTTCAACAAAAGGGAATAAGGAAAATAAAAAGAAGTCGTTGTCGGTTGTCCATAATCGATCACACATAAATCAATCGCGCATGCTACTATATATTTGGTAAAAAGGGCTACTTCAATTCTTGCATCATAACCAAAATATATTGCTGGAACTCGAACGTAATGGGTGCAACAACAAAAATCCAAGGTTAAAGTTTAGTTGGATTAACTATTATAATTTTTTAAAAATCATCTATATAATTTAATTAAATTTAATTAAATTTAGTAAAATTTAATGTATAAAATTCATAGTAAAGATTGAGCTTAGCTATGTTATTAATGGAGGGTTTTGAGAGAATTTGGCTTCTATTCAAACTCATCAAGAGAAGTAGGACTTAACTAAATTTATTTATTTATTTTAAAAAAGAAAATAACTTTTTTGGGTGGAGAGTCTCAGGTATTCGAAGATTAAACAATCTGATATTGTTTATAGACCTTTATGCTTTCACATGAGGCTTGCAACGTTTCAGGCCCATAATATCCGGGTTTAATGTTAGTTGGGTCCATACTGCCTCCAAGCATGCAAAATGATCTACTATCTCTCTCACATTAGTTACTTTAGTTTATCTAAATGGTTGTCTCTCATGCCTGTCCGTGATTGACCAAATTATCTATTTATTTTTTTTGAGTTACCCAACCCTAATTATCTCTTTGAGACGAGTTGGCTCCCTCCGGTATCCCCACAGCTTCGACTCTTTGAGCCGGCTATGGGACTAATCCGGAGTGCGGGGGAACAATGATGGCTAAAGGTTCAGCCCCCTCCCCAAGAATGCATTCAGCGGGAATCGA